AAAACAACATCTGCGATTTGTTTAAATAACTAAACCGGTTTATCGAACTTGGACCTCATCTTCAACCGCAGTCCGCGGAGCCCGAGTCTTCGGCTCGGATGCCGAACTTGCCAGATCAGACCACTGAAGCAGGGGCAAGAAAAAGCTTGGCCCGGCAGGGAGATGGTTTATCTGGTTAATAATAGTGTGCTCCTTTTACCACTAATGCTTAAATGGCGGATTTTGCGGGGAGTGCCTTTGGATCAGTTCAATTTACCAACACGGCTCTATTAACTATAGACCCAAGAGCTACGACTCGATAGCTAATATCGGTCCCTCAATTTTATTTTCCAAGGCGCTTTGCTTCTCGAGTCCAAATAAAATCACTAGATGTCTGTTCACCTCTCATGGTGGTCTAGCCAGCAATATTATCCAACTGCTCGGCGGCCGGTCTAAGCAGGTAAATGTCCCCAGTCGGCGGCGGAGGAAGCTGAGGCACAACTGCCTTGGCTTGACTGTCTCCTGCATCAGCTGCTGCGTGTACATTATCAGTTGCCGCGTACGGCTTAAACTCCAATTCTTCGAATCCCCATGCGCTCCTCCCTTCCACAGCCGCCCTCAACAGGAAATTCGTCGCTCCAAACAGACTCTGTCCATCGGGACCCTTATAACCGAACAGGTCTACGCCGACCTTCTTGGCGACAAGCGCAAAGCGCAGGTGTGCTCCGAGGTTGAAATTGGAGTAGTGCCAGCTACGCGTCCTCGCGAGCTCCATCGGTTGGGAGCCATTAGGCCGGATCTGGACGTCGATGAGAGACTTTGCTCCTTGGGATGTCTTTTTCGAGAGAGATGTGTTTCCGGTGAAGAGAGCAAGCGCCGCGATCTGCATGTTGGCGAAAGTGCCGTGGTTATTCTCTTGGCCTGCCTCTTCCTTGCCAAAAGGCGAGTTGACTAGCCAGTCGAGAAACTGACGGTTCCAGTTCATGAACGCTCGTTGATTTGCTCTTGTCCAGCCGGGAGCATTGGTCGAGGCAAGGATGGCAGCTGCATCCAGAACGTTGGTGTACTCCATGCTGAAGTCGATAATGCCGATTGAGCGGCCGTCATTGCGGCAAGGGATGATCTGTGCGTGGCGCAGGTTAGGCGTCATTGCCGTAGCGGGGTCGATGAACCAGGTCTGCAGAATAAGCGAGGCATGTTTAGCATATTTCGCCTGGCCGGTGTAGTACCATGCGAGAGATAGTATGTAGCTGGATCTAAACATCGAATCACGTCCGCTGTGATCAGGGTATTTTTCGACTTCGGGGTTGCGCTCGCCATCCCGGTCTACGTAGGGACAGCCATCAGTGGTATTACTGGGCCACCAGTACGGTGCTTGGGATGCGTAGTCGTGGATCGTGCCGTTAGGTGGTGCCTGCGTTTTGGAGGTCACAGTCCACGGGCCCTGGCTCAGCCAGCTATCAGCTTCAGTGGTGAGATGACCAAGAGCGGCTGTGAGTGACGCATCGCCAGCTCGGAGGCGCAGTTTATTCTCAACGAGACGGGCGCCGTCAATCACAACAGTCTTTGGGATGATGTCGTGACGACCGTGGCCATTGGGAAGACTGAGGGAGCTAGAGAGTGATACGAAGAGGCTGAGACAGGAGATCTGAAAGAGCTTCATCTTGAACGATGGCACGGAGTAGACGAGTCAACAGGTGTATCTGAAGAATCAATGAGTTGGTTTCCATTTGAGCCAACCTTGCGTCTAGCTCCATAAATATAGCTCTATGTCCTTTTCCAGCTCGTAGTGTACATGCTTATGGTTGGTGGAAGCTGATAGACTGACTGACAATGAAATGATACATTTTTCCACTACTTGAATTACGGCAGAGAAACTACAACTAGACATAAACGTGGGTAGGCAACTCATCCTCGATCAGGGAAAAGGAGGACAGGGAAAACGGCAATTGAGGTGCCAGATCCGCATCGGCACTTAGGGCTATTCTTAGAGGCTACTGTAGGCTTGTAGCTGCCGGCATGTGCGGAGAAACCGGGGTTCTGGACCGTGGGGAAGCGGGGGAAGAAGTGCTTACCGGAAAGGGCAAGTCCTCTGCCGCACACTTGGGTGACAGGGAGCCATGACCCTTTTGACGGGTTGATGCCCGGACATGGCGCAGGAGCTATCATACCTTCTTATACGACTAATCGACCCAAATGTAACCTTAGACTTAGCTAAGTGATTCAATTGCCGCTAGTCCCAAGATCGTCGGCACCCCCGAGCCAATATTTTCTTTATGCGCGGCTAGCAGAAGCTTTGTTGATTCAGATTACTCAGTTGGTGGAAAATCATCTTGCGGGCAAGAAAATTGCAGATCATTTGTGTTATGAGAGGTGTCATAGAGTAAACAGATCCGTACGCTCTTTCTTATTGACGTAAACGAGATAATCCGTCTGCGAGGTATTGTCCCACCTGTCACATATCTCCCGTGTCGGGCTTCAGAGCCGCTGAGGAACGATGATCCCTTCCAGAATGGTAGTGCGCCAGGAAAGCTGCTTTAATTAAAGTAGGGTTGTATGATGTCGACATTAGGACCCTGAAACTGCTGGGACGAGTCTCGAGCATACAGATATACTGGCTAGGTATTGATATTTGAGACCTCAGAATAACTCGACCTTTTGAGAAGAAATTCTATCCAGCACTACACTCACCAGTTGTCTTCTTCCAACAATTCTCTGAGATCCATCCTTACTGCTTGTCTTCTTTCAGTAATCATTCAAAATAAACACCATGACGATTAAGAACCTCATACCTATCGCTCTCTTGGCCCTTGTCCACTTCCCACCTATGACCATGGCACAAGGCTCAGCCTGCGCTCCTGGTGGTACTTTTGACCTATCCAAGTGGAAACTACAGCTTCCAACTGGCAAGGCTGGGTCACCAGACGAGGTTTCTGCTTCTGAGCTCAAGGGCTGCAATGGTTACAAGTCCGAATACTTCTTTACCAGCCCCGACGATGGCTCCCTCGTCATGACGGTCCCGGGCTCTACATCAACCACCGATTGTGTTACGACCCCCAACAGCAAACACTGCCGCACAGAGCTGCGTGAGAATAGCCCTTCCAAGTGGAGTCCTTCTGCTTCTAAGAACCGGCTGTTTGGCGACTTGCTCGTGAAGCAAATCACGGACGACCGAGTTGTGGTTGGCCAGATCCACATCGATGGCTCCATCTCCACGAAGCCCGTTTGCGAGCTTTACTATAGTTCCAAGGGTGATCTGACCATGGGTGTCAACCGATGCCGCACCTGCGGACAGGATACCTTCACTGTCGGCCACGTCCCTGTAGGCCAGAGATTCACCTACGAAATCCGGTACGAGAAGGGTATTCTATCCGTTAGCCTCAATGGCCAGGCTTTCCAGACACTCGACACCTTTGACCTCGATAACCCCGATAGCTACTTCAAGGCTGGCAACTATAACCAGGGAAATGGTCCCACGGAGGTTCACTTCTTTGCAATCCGTGTTTCTCACTAGAGCGTCGATGTTAGCAATAGTTGAGCTTCTCATTTCGACAACCAGGGTTGCCTGGGAAACTTATTTCGGCGCAACGGACGAAGACTGTCCTTCATCCCATCGTCTGAAGTTGGTTCAGGTCTACTGCGACCTGTCAAGGGGGTCTTCATTTTGCGTTGAAATGCATTACAGTCTTTGCAGCTATGAACTCCTCAAAAAACATCATACGTCCATGTATGTCAGTATAAGAGAATATGTTTCATGGTCATTCAAGCTTTTGTTCAGCCAAGGCACATCTTTATTACCCATACCTAAGGTAGCTGAATTGGCAGCACCAGATAGAGCAGTAGGCTAGTAGCCAGGGATAAGAGGCCAAGAGAATCATATATCCTTTCTTTGCCGTAGACCGAACTATCTATACCTATAATCTATTGTAGGAGCTGACATGTGCACCTACAACACCCCGCGGTTTTGGAGTTGGACATTGCATTTAAGCTAATGAGTTTCAGCGGTGGAGTAAGGTCTAGGCCTACCTAATATCACAAATTACAAGTGTTCTAGGCAACAGCCCTCTAATAGATAGCCCTACGTGCTCTGGTATAGGTATTGCGACACATTTGCTATGGGTTGGTAATACTTATCTAACAGTCTACTAAGGTGCCTCTCCAATAGATATAGAGGTTAATAGTGATGTCTTACAGCTAATACTTGCCGAATCCTATGCGGTTTTCTTTCTTTGAATGTTAAGCTAAGGATACGAAGAGATTAAACCCGCTAGGTGGAACTGGAAGCCTAAGCAGAGTCCCGGACTCCACATACTATCATCAGCTCCCTTTATCTAGGCAAAGTCTAGTCTTTCACAATCGAGAGGCATGAGTGGAGAAAACCCACATTTAGGGGATCGGTAAGGGACCGTAGAGTCGACACCTAGTCAACTAAATCGAACAAAAAGGTCTCAAGAACTGACTTTGCACCTGGAGGATAGCCTGCCATTTTGCCATAGGCTTATAAGCTTACCGTTATGACTGGTGAGGAAAATATCTGGCCGAAAATGGCTGATAACCCGTTAAATAGGACTTTTAATTGGCTGAAACAAGTCCACTTAGCGCTTGCTTCTATCCATGTTATTATGCTGTCTATGGCCATGTTTCACTGTATTGCTGGAACCTTCAGACTCCTGAAAATTTATCTTTTCTTAAAATTTCGAGTAAATCATGCTAGACGGACTTTCCTTCAGCTTAGTACTTCCAAGCCACCACATATCTCCCAGTTTCTTCTACTGTGTCCTAACGTGACCGGGGTTTTCCTTGATTAGAAAAATAATCTTTGGTCACAGCAGATTTCAATGAATTCGGAGGGTCTGCCGTATAGCCTAGTAATGAATCCGGACGTATGATCTTTACTTATGCTAGACCCTTTCTTGATGATAGCGATGCGGCAGGAGTCACGGAACAGATGTCCAGGGAAACAAGGCAGGCTATTACTCATCAGGTCGATTGAGAAACCCATTTCTCCAAGGTGAGAAAGTATGGTCGCAAAAGACAGCAACCATAGGTCCGCAGAGGGCCAGAAACAGGACCAAAATGACGGCACCGCAGCTCAAGACCGGGGCTGGATGCCCTCATCGTTGCAGGCTCCCTTCCTCTGCTCGCAGGCTGCGCTTTTCTTCCTCCTGTCTATTGCCCTTGAGTGCCTTCGCCAATACTCGGACCGCAATCAGGGCCTCGTTATCTTCAAAACGGCTGCCGAACTGCCGAAGAGCGTCTCGGTGGCTTATATCTACATACCAACGGCTGTGGCAGTGCTGGCCGTCACACTGTGGAACTTTAGCGCATCCGACGTTCTGCGATTAGAGCCATATTTCCAGTTAGCCAAAGCTGAAGGCGTTGCTGCAACAGTGCTCTTCACCAGCTACAGCTTCTGCTACGGCCTCATGGCCCCCCTGGTGGCGGCTCGCAATCGTCATTGGCTTGTATTCTTCACCTCCAGTCTGTCGATCCTCATGCGGATCTTCCTCCCCTCTCTTCTCTCTGGCGTGGTGGTTCTAACCGAAGTGACCACCACCGAGTCGATCTCGGTTCTGACATGGCCAGATCTGCTTGACGTGGATACCCAGAAAGCCTGGTTATCCAGCGAGACCTTTCGGCCTCACGCAAATGCCTCCGTGAAGATCACTGTTGACGACGTTTTCCTACTGCGATCGTCTGACTATGCCACGGCCGCTGTGTCAATGCCCCTTGATGAGAACGACACGTCGTTGCTGTCGCTCAATCAGACCGTGTATTGGGCCGAGCTCGCCTGCCAGGATGTGGCCCTCAGGGACCTTGAACCCCCAGATCGTGGCGTCTTCCGGAACATAAGCGGGATGGAGTTCCCGTCACTGGGCGACGGCAATGCAGCATCCACATGCTACGTTGACGTTTCCCTCGGCAACATCACCGCAAACCGGGGCGCTTCTTCTCAGGTGCGGTACTGGGAACCTGCCCATTCCAAGGCTCGATTCCACGCCCCGGTCGCTTTTCGTACCCGCGGTTGCCGATCGGTCGCCCTGTTTGGGATCCTCCTTGACCTAGATATGGATGTGCACGGCACGTCTGACCCTGGACCCTCCAATGCCACTGCATTTGCATGCACCGCTACTTACACGTCTGCTGAGGCCGAGCTCTTGATCAGCGTCAACGGCTCCATAGCTGAAGTCAAGGTCCACCCTTCCACTGAGCGCAGTCTGACAAGCACGGGCTTTGCCCATGAAGAGTTTCAGGACCTTCTCTTTTCGGGATATCACTCGAACCCCCTTGCAAAGGTTGGGACCCCGAATGCCGTAGCGGCGGATGGTATAGACCCGCCAAGAGCGTCAAATTCTACAGCCGGTATCCACGTCGCCCAATACCAGGATGCAATCACTCAGCTTTGGAAACAGAAATTCATCACCACAATGAGCAAACTTTTCAACCCAACTGCAACCCCGACGAAGGTAGATGCAAGGCAGGCTACACGCGTTGTGGCTCTCGCGATCATCTCCAGAACAGCTCTGATGGCTGAGAGTATCCTCCTTGCGGCAGTTGTGCTGCTCTTGTTGTTGGCAGTTCTCTATCCAAGACGTCTGAACTTCCTTCGAGGCGATCCAGGGTCGATAGCCGCACAATGCGGGATTATTGCTGACCTCTTCCCATCTGATACGGTTCTTGCTCGGTTTGATGCGCAGTTTCATAGGGCCACGACAAGGCAGCTCCGCCGGTGGTCCAAGAATTTCCGGTGCGAGTGGGCGGGCAAGCCGTCCGAGAGAAAGGTCAATATCGTTCCCTTGGGTCGACCTCTTGATTCAGAAGTTTTGGCCCTCCCAGCAACCCGAAGAGGAAAAGACCCCAGGCCGCATTTCTTGGTCCCGCACTGGTTCCTGGTTGAGTGCGCGTTGCTGACTGGAATCTTGGTGTCCTTTGGCCTCGCGCTCAGCTCTCTGAGAGTGAATGATATTAACGACGTCTCGCCACGGGAGCTGGCCCTCACGATCCTTTTGATCTATGGTCCAACAGTCGTGTCCTCTGTGATCAGCTCGCTGCTCGAATCCGTCCTCCGCCACCTCAGCGTATTGGAACCATGGGTGCGCCTGCAGAGGGGCATGGCCTCTGCGACGGACTCACTAGCACTGAACTATGGCTCGCAGACTCCAATCGCCGTGCTGCGTAAGAGCGGTCGCGGTGCACCTCTGCTTCTGACTATCCTCTCCGTTACCTGTGTCCTGGACCTATTGCTAAACGTCCTGAGCGGTGGGATTTTCGAACCCCGGCTGAAGGAGCACAGGACACCGGCCTCCGGACTTCTCTCTGCCCAGTATAATGATACCGTCTTTCACGCGCCAGCCTTTGAGGTGGAATTTGACGGTTACGGATTGACCTTGAGCAGCCTAACCACTGGCGCTCCCCTACTCCCTTGGACCACTCCAGACTATTCCTTCCTCCCGCTTACGGTCAATGAATCGGACTACAATTCTTTCGGAGGCGTCAGTTACAGTGCCATCACGCTAGGCGTGGGGGCTAGTCTGGAATGTCACCATATTCCGATCAACAATTCATGGACTGACAGCGAGGCTGGTAAGGTGTTCTGGAATCATACAACCTCATCAGGCGTCAACTGCACGGCAGAAGTCCGCAACAGTGGCACCGATGGTGATCTAATCCGGAGATCCATTGCATATCTTCTACCCACTGTGGACTCTCCGGTCACTCCCTGCCAGACGTCAATCTTCATCCTGGCCCGGTGGGCAACAGAGAATCCCGCCCCAATAACCAGTCAGAACTCGCTGGCGCTGTACTGTACGCCGTCCATCCAGATCAATGAATTTGAAGTCCTGTTCGATGACCAGGGAACAATCGCTTCCTACAAGCACGCAACTGCTACGACTGACCCACGCGGGCAAATGTTGCGCAATGCGTCTGCCTGGGACATTTCAACCAGGCACTAGCCAGCATCGGACAGAAGAAGTTCCCTACACACCGCGACTCGTCCTTCTATCAGTATGACTGGCCGGGGCTCCTGACGGCCTTTGCATACGAGCCATCGAACCCAACCTTGGACTCCCTTCAGCCGGAGTTCCTCATCCGTGCCGCCCAGTCCACCTACCGGGAAATCTTCAGTAGCTACCTCACACTCGCCAGGAATACATACTTCGACCGTTACCGGTCCTCTGAAAGGCCCGCGGTGGACGGAACCATCATCACGAAACTCTGGGGCATGATGCCCTCAACCCCGTCGATGGTCATCGTCATCGTCCTCTTGTCCATAGATATCTCAGTGCTGATCCTCGTATTCGCCCTCCGTCGTAACAATTTTGATGGGCCGCGTATCCCGAAATCAGTTGGGTCGCTGATTCCGTGGGTCGCACGGAGCAGGATTGCGCCTGACTTCCGGGGAGCATCGCGGATGACGGACAGCGAGCAGCGGGATAATCTCATGCAAAGGAGCCACAAATACACTTTTGGTCTGTCTTTATGCCCTGATGGTGAAGAACGATGGCTGCTTGATTACGACAGCCGCTACTTGAAGGAAGAGGACCATGAGCTGGATGAGATATGTGGGATTATTGATTAGAGATGGCAATCATGGCAGTGTTAGGGATAGTCTATATAGTGGTGCTAAGGAAGCAGCGCTCATACTATAACCTTTTTATTAAGTTAGAAGACTTAAACTAAACAGCAGTTTATAGCTAAAGGCTATATAATTATAATATATAATCTAAATTTAGCACCCATAGCATGGATTTACACTCAGACATTTCCCTAGTAGTATATAAAAGGTATTGTAAAGAGTTATATACTACCTCCTAGATAGGTGTTTACTCTTATCTTAAGCAGCTATAGAATATAAATTATAATAACTAAGTAATCTTAGATCTATAATCTAGTAACCTTTAGTAGGATTAAGGAAATACCTTTCTAAGCACCTTAAATAGGTCTATAAGATAATCTTTGGTAGAGAAGAGGGAGTAGTATAACACATAAGAATTATAAGCTATACCCACTATGCTATTAGAGAGCTAAGTAAGCTAGTTAGAGATTAATATAACAGCCCAACAGAGTAGAGGCTAATTATAATCTATAGCAGATCTACCTATGTGGCTTAGAGGTAAGTAGATGAGCCCTTTCTGATTATCAGTGTACCCAGCCAGCAGCTTCCCTAAGAATGCGAATATTTTAGGAATCAAAAACTAGTGGAAGGTTAATATACCGTGATGAGTGAGGACTCAGAAGGACTATTAAGAACTGTTCGACTTGATTCCCTACTACCGGACTTTGGTTCAATGCTGGTTTGAACTGTACTGATTGGCTCAGAAAAATTGATGCTTCTGGGACACACTCATTGAGTCGTTGCAAAAGCCGCTCACAAGTCATGTTCTGGGATTGCAGTTAGCATACTGATCTTAAGAGGTTGCGACTATTGTTTTGCTGTTGATGCATAAGGAGAGGATCAGAGATGCAACACAGGCCACCGTCCAGGCGCATAAAGTATTTCCAAAACTTGACGATAAGTAAGTGGATAACATGGCCGAATGAGCGCCGGGTAAGAAGGAGATATGGTTTAAGTGAAACGGACAAGCGCTCAGACGTCCCAAAAAGAGTGGATAGCGGCCATAAACAAGACGAGCACGAATCCTCTGATTGATAACCTTTCATTGATATCATGTTATCAAAGATTGTCAGACCAAATTTCACTGTAGGGTCCTAGATTGACTTGCCTTAGTTGTCGCTTGTCACTTGTTAGAATGTTTAAGCTTTCTCTACTCCGGCAGTCTGGGTTAAGCTTCATTGGAAATACTCTCCAACACCTTCAATTCCTCCACCTCGCATAATACCTGTTTATCATATTACAGTACGGAGTATCTCAATTGGATGCCGCATTCTGAATGTGGATTCAGACACGCTGTATATTATCATACATCTGAGAAGCGGGCAGATAAAATGCACAAGTACCAATGAGAGCTTACGATACAGGCTGGTCTTCTTTTGGAACTCGAATGGCTTTGAATGGCTGTGGATGCGTGCTTGTCCTCGAACTTAGCCTGGATGATGCACTGGCTGATGTAGGCTGGGTCTTTGCACACAGTGGCGAAGTCTTCACAGGTGACATGGTAGTCATACCTGTCAATGCCGGCAGTGAGGAAGAGAGCGTCGTATGTAGTATCGTCTGCATGGTTGAGAATGTTGTCTCTGATGGTTTCAGCAATCGCCTTGTCGGGGGAGCCTTCAACTCTGCGGATGCCCTTTTTTGTGTTGTTCTGGACAGGATGACCTTCACTCTCTTTGTCCTTCATAGACGGTAGGAATGCATGATATGCCAGGTATTCTATCACTGATCTAAGGAGTACATCGTCTGAACACCTCGTTGTCGAGTGGTTCTAGGATTATGGACATGACATCAACTCTGTCATAAGGAGCTAATGGTGGGGACTGCTGCCTAGTTAGTTAATTGCGGTGATTGCTGAATATGTGCTACAAGTATAAAGCCAAAACTATCTCGACGTCTCTTCCTTTAGGCCTTTGTTCTCTATGCCTCTGTCACCTCTCTAAGGCCCTAAAGCTCTGCTGGAGACCGCTTTACCGTTCGGGGCTCGTTTGGGTTTGGAAATCACTCGTATTTCACAATGATAAAGCAATGAAAGAGGGCTCTGTATACTGCCGTGTGGATCCAGCCTGAAGCTATGTATCCAAATCATACGATATCAGGGATTTGGCGGAGAGCCTCTCGGACTAGAGAATCTATCTAAACTATATCCACAAGCCCCTACCTCCTAAGCCACTATTTTCGCCGCATTTGGAACTCCCTATTTCGGCCGATCCTAAGATTCGCTACTAGATCATGCTATCTTGACTTGTACCTTACGAGTTGTTCGGTGTACAGTCTAATTTATAACCCAGTAAAATGACACGGGAAACGCCGTTTAGACATGCAGTTATTTCAGTGTACCTGCGGCTGACCATCATTTCCACGAGTCTCATCGTACTCAATAGACAGCGAAATCTCCTTCTAGATCATAACAGCGGTGCACGTCCGTCAATATTCGACAAAGGGGCACTTATGTAGCATTCTCCAGAATGAATGAGAACCAGGCTCTTACAAGATAATCCCCCACGGCAATGATTCGTTGTGGTCAATATTTCCTCTCTCCGATCACCAGAGCAGCCATGGTATCTCTGCAAAACATGGACTGAGACAACATTCTCTAGCTCAGGACCGTTTTAGTCTCTGTCACTCCGGACCATGGTACGAACTCCGTACTTCTGCAGATGTTGTAAGTACCGTGGTCTCATTATGTACGTTTTCCCATCATAGCCTAGTCCTACCACCCCCTAGTTTAGGGCGGGCAGGACCCACGGCCCCGGCCCGGAAGCCTCCTTTTCCAGAGGACCACAAGCTCAGATTAATTGGTTATATCATAGGCCAGCGGCCAGATACTTAGCTGACCGATCAGATCTACACCAAGCTTTTTCTACCGTAACTTGTACCTTCCAGTTTTGATTAGTGCGCATTTATTTAACTATGAAGGAAGAAGAAACGACCCCTACAATACCGGCGTCTAAGCCGGACGAAGCCTCTGTCGAGTCTCAGCTACTATCGTCTAAACAGAAGGAACTGGCTGCAGCGGTCTCCTCGTATGTGGGCTTTCCCGAGCGGCTGATGCAAAAAGCGGGATGCTACAAGTATCCATTTCTGTAAGTCCAGTCCCATGAGTTACTGCTCTCGCCGATTGACTATCCCGTAGATTCCTCGTCTATCTCTTCGCGTTCCTCTTTGGGTACTACCGCACCTGTCAACTTGCATGTGCAGCGGATACGTGCTATCTACAGGCCTTGTTTTTGTATTTTCTCTGTTTCTGTTTTCTGGCTCTTCTGGCCCACCGTGGAGCACAGCGAGACGCGATTCTTCGAGATGCCGGGAGGAAACATTACGTGGCTCGTTGAAGTAGCGGTTGGGCTGCGGCAGCAATCTGTACCCTGAACAATCATCAGTCAGTCAACGAAGGGTTATATGTTGCAGTCAATTGCGAAAGGGAACTTCAAAGGGTGTTTATCAGGATACATTTCCACGATATGCCGCGGATGACGTCCTTCCAAGCTGCCTCGCTTGGCTTCGAAGCAATAGAAACATGTACCAGATGATCGAATCTTTCGAACGTTTGCCTGAGTTCTTCGCTAAAGAGGCTGGTAATCAAGTGAACCGTTCGTTTAACATTTGGACTTATTGAATACGGGCGAGCGACGATCGTATAGCAATAAAATCTAAAGGGGACAGATAGCGACAGCGAATATCTCCCAGTCTGTCTTACAGGTTCACTATATGTTGAGACGGGATTCGTAACTGGCATCCCCCTTGGGCTTGGGCATGGAGCTCTCAGATATCATCCCAATAGTTAAGTGTTCTTAGATCTATAATTAGTAACCTTTGGTAGAATTAAGTAATTAACTTTCTAAGTACCTTAAATAGGTCTGTAAGATGATCTTTAGTAGAGAAGGGCCAGTAGCACAAGAACTCAGAATTACAGGCCACACCTGTCATGCCGTCAGAGAGCCAAGCAAGCTAGTGAAGGATCAATGCAACAGCCCGACAGAGTGGAGGCTAATTATGATCTATGGCAGATCTACCTATGCGGCTGAGAGGTAAGTGCCACCCTGACAGTGCCAGGCAAACGCCGACAGGTCATTAATGTTCACCAGGGAATAATCCCCATCTGCTTTTGTGTTCGGATCGTTTGATAGCACAGAGCAACTCGAACGTGGCAAGACAGTACTGGCTGCTGGGCCAGGGTCACTCAGATAAGGCCCTACAAATATCCTTGCGAGCGTGATATTGTCTTTTTAGTAGGTTGTAACATGGAATATGGATTGTTTATAGTATCAACCACTACAAATGCAGGAGTATAAGATGTATTGTCATATTACAAGAGATAGACAGTAGTGGTCTATACTCATTGAGTGCTGATGGCAGGTGTTCAAGATCATAGAGATAGACAAGTATTTAGTGGGTATTAATTTTCAGCGCCTTCAGACTTGAGTAGACGGGATTTTGTCATACTCCGAGTTCGGCGTTGGTTACCTCTTGCGGCGACTTCCAAGTTCGGAGTATTTCGGGGATCTTCGGGGGCGGATTCGTCAACGGGCTGTGTCTAGCTTCTAGTCTATACACACCCACAATCACAGGCTTATTAGGTGCTTGGTAACAGGCAGTTTTTGAATGGCTCTCTTCACTGACTGGCATGGGATGGTGATGGTTAGGGTTTCCTAGCTGTATTTATGCATTACAGCGAACTGTAGGGCTTTCTAGACACCTAGTATATGATCACATTCATCCATCTGCTAATCGGCCGCCTGCTTGGTCTTGCCTGATGTAGTCCTATTGACTGATAAGTCCACGTTGGTGATTCAGTCTTGATGTCGAGGATATTCAGGCTGACAATCTGGACCACCCCCTTAACCTTTAGCTGGAAGGGGCCAATTTCCATAGACAGGATTGCGTGATCTCTAACAAGGGCAGGCTACCCAGCAACCAGCCCCCGAGCAGAATGAGCCTAGAGTAAATAAAGGTGATGTACAATAAGCCTTCTCCTCCGGTCGGCCTCGTCACTGTTTAGCCATCCCAAACTAAGGATCTTAGATGCCATACATGGGGCAGTTAATCTCACCTGGCCTAAAGTAGTTAGCGATGGTGTCTCCATAGACTTGGAAGAGAGGGGTGACCACCTTAAGCCCTGGCTGAATTAGGGTTACATTTAGACAAGGAGAGCATTATCAGAATATGTAAATAAAGGAGTCAGTGAAGGACAGAAGGAAAAGGCGACACAGATAAGAGGCTAATTGATAGATGTTAATATCACTTTCCTTTCTAATTAGTTAATAATAAGGCTGAGCGGGGTCCCAGCCCACTATGGTAGAACGTTAGCGACCATCACACAATTTGCTGTCCAAATGAATCAGAGATAAGGACTTACGCAAGCTGATGTTGATCCATTTTGTTCACCTGTTGGTAGGTAGCCTTGTAATGTAATTCAATACCCTCCTGCCAACTGTCTCCACTGGTACTACTATGATGCTGGGCTGAACCCCAGCGGGAGGCTAGATAGCAGCCAACAGCCATCCTGTTCTCATGCACTGAACCATGCCATAGAGGCTAGATCCTGCACATCAATGCCAAAGACACAGATCAGATTAGATGGGCGTAGACTGTATGCTGGGCAGATAGTCTCGAAGTATGGAGTAGGTTTGCCTAAAAGGACGGGTGGTGGGCAGCGAAAAGTGGATTGACCAACATCTTTGTTAGCAAATAAGAACGGCTCACTAGTCTTAGCCGAAGGCGTCTAGAAATACAAACCATTACTAGCGTGAGAGGACGTACGTTTGGATACTACCTCGGGCGGAAGATAGCTTGAAGAGCCATGCTTTTTCTTTTTCCTCTAAGTAACATGGATAGATTCCGGATATTGCTGCTCTAGGTGGGGGAAGGACAACTTGCCCAGTGGTCCGTGATCCCATATGAAGAGACCTTTCTGGACCAGGATGGATCTTGAGCTAGCTATGTAGTATCAAGCTTATGGGACATTTCCTTGATTTTCACTTCCCCTGGAAATATTTTTTGCTCCACCTTTCTATTCCTCATGCACAGCCAGTTTATCTTGCAGTTACTGGCTATGAAATCTGAGCACTTCCCCCATATTAGATTTCAAGTCTTAAGTTAGCCAGAGTGTGATAATTGGTAACTAGTTTTTATCTGTTATTTTTTCTTGGTTCTATCTGGAACCTGATGTATGTCTCTCACGTCAAGGATATGGAATTGGACTAGAAGTAACAATCCTTGTCATTCCTCTCAAGTCCAGCAAGGTTTATCTCACTCTGGATAGCTACCCTTGATGGGATAGCTCCTTCGTCCAATAGGACAAATTATGACTAGTTACAACCACCACACTAATACCTCCTTAAGAAAACTGACCACAGTAGTTAGTGAGGGACTTGCGGTCTCTATTGGACCAACTACACAATGGCCATTAGTCAAGCATGCAGCTGGCAGGACTGCCATCATTATGGATGGATCTCCCCGGCCCCTGTTAGTGCTTACTTGCAGCAAGGTAGAAGGGGCCACGGAGAATCCTTCCAACATGAGGATCCCACGAGGCGCACCGTATAGGTCATCTCGCACTCTAGCCGAGGGCGATGACCATAGAGCTGCCTTATGAACAGCGTTATTTAACAAGCTATGGTCGCCCAGTGTTGGGCGTCTACTTGGCATCATTTAAAAAGTCTTATTTCAGCCTGCTTTATCCAAACGTCGACTGTCAGCAGCCTCATAGTCCTAGCATTATTCCCTTTGATCGCATTGGCCCCGAACCCTCGTCCTCATGCATGTGGACAGCAGGGGGAACCCTTCAGTCAGACGCCGCAGACCAGCTGTGGCCTGCACCGAATGCCGACGACGGAAGATTCGATGTGACCAGGCGATACCTTGCCGTCACTGTGAGAAGGCGGCTCTGCGGTGTATCTATAACCATTTGCGTCCCAATATCAGCCAATCCAACATCACTCCACCTGCAACAGCGCGGGTGATAATCCCAGGCTCGCAGTCCAGCGCGAACGATTCTCCGCAATTGACGCTAAGTAAGGACAACAAGTTTCACGGGTTTGGGAGTGGCTCCCTGGATAGCGACCTCTCATTAGACTACGTGCCTCCAGCCCTGCCGACAAGCCCGTCCATCTTCGCCGAGCCCAATTCGGTCCTCTCCTCCGTGACGCAACCACTAGCCTGGGATATCGTGCCTCCGGAGACCGGCGTTGAATTCCTGGCCGAGTCCGACTCCGTGGCTAACCTGCAGGGCCAGATCGGGGAGTTGCGGGACCAACATACCGCGCCGTGGAAGGAAATACTCCACTGTGACCCTGACACGTTCTGGTTCGATTCCGAAGATCTACGACGGATGCAGAGGAAGATCCGCGATCTCGAGCTCTCGCTAGCCACGTCCAAGATGCCTTCGGAATGGCTCTATTGGTCTCCAGGCTCTACAATACCCGAAGTGTCAAGCCTAATCCCCCAACGAGCCACTTGTGATGTGCTACTGGAGTTGCACGTCAATACTTTCGAGTCTTCGATTCGCATACTGCACATACCGTCGTTCTATCAAGAGTATAGACAGTATTGGGAGAGCCCGGACAGCACCAGCGATGTCTTTCTGTGCAAGTTGCTGCTGGCCATGGCAATCAGAACGTTGTTCGTCCCCGCCTCGCCATCAGCAGGCCAGTTGGCAGACATGCGGTCTCGGGCATTGGCGTGGATGCACTACGGCCATCAATGGCTGTTTCAAAAGATCGTGCTCGACGCTCAGCTCAACCTCGATATCCTGCAGGTCGGGTGTCTCCTGCTTTTATGTCGCCATACCAGTCCTACTGCCATCGGTGATCGGCATTTCTGGCTATCGGAGGACTGTTTGGTCCGGATGGCCATGAAACTCGGCCTCCATCGGGACCCCCACGTCCGTAATCCCGCAATGCTCGGCACCGAGGTTGAAGTCCGAAGACGGCTCTGGGTGACCCTGCTCGAGCTTTCGCTCCAGGCTTGTCTGGACGCCGAACTTCCTGCCCCACTGCCCAGCGATGGTGGGTTTGACACCGAACTCCCCTCGAATTTGTCCGATACCGATCTCGGTTCGGTGGCTACGCTGTGCGATCCCAAGCCCCGCTCCTTTTTCACCCATTCCACCATGCAGATTCTTCTCGCCGAGACACAGAGAATCCGGATTCGTATTTTGAATCTGTTGTACTCCCCCACCACAAGAATACCGTATGAGGAGGCACTGAAGCTAGCATCCGAGCTTAGGCGGGTCTGCAATGCCAACTTACGATTGTTGCAATCCTTTACCCCTCAAGCACCGGGCGCTGTTATGCCCACCGAGTTCCAGATCAAGATTCTCGACCTCTGGACCCGAAGGTTTCTTCTAGCTTCCATATGCCGACGAATCGTGCTCGAACTATTCCTTATACTACACTCGCAAGGGCCGCATCGATGCGTCCTTGCTTCTGCTGTCCTATCCTCTGTCCCACAACACCGCCACTGGCCATTCTTCGCCAATCGGCAGTTACTACCCCCAATTGCAGATCTCCGGCCAGGGCATCTTCAAGAACGTCCTGCGACAGGCCACTGAAGCAATTTGCCAGGATCTGATCCAGGAGCTGGTGGAGGATGCGTTCCCAATCACGGATCGAGATCCCCATACCAAGCTCTGCCAAATTATAAAAGACTCGATCAGTATCTACCGGACACGTATGGAGCAGAACCAACCTTGTATGCGGGAGTATGTGGCATTTTTATGCGCATCTGCGCAGATTGAGGCATTACGCTCGGGATGGCATGGGAAATATGATATTTTTCCAACGGCAAAAAAGGCTCTGGGGCAATGCCACCATATCCTTGAGTCAGCGCAATGGTCCAACAGCCCTGAAAAGAATTGGGCGGAAACAATGCATGTGCTGGATATTGATCAAGGTATGAACTTCCAGGCCGACCTATTGTCAGCCCCAGGCGTTTCGCCTCCTTCACCTCCTTCATCGTCTTCCTTTTTTGGAGCATGGACTCAGACACACAGTCCCCTAGGGAGCTCATCACAGTAGACGTGTCGTGGGTAATGAAAGGTAGAAAGATAGAATTGTAGAATCCAATCCACTGCAGCATGAATCCGGGTTTTAGGCCCTGTCTCGTGTCATAAGTATGGATTGGTGGGATCACCAATATTTTCGAGACACAAAAGGCTGGCGAGGTCGAGATCGAACGCAGGGTCCTACTTGAGAATTTAGAAACAGTTGTTCTTCTCATGAACTCATCTCCCGGAGCAAAAAGCTTACGTCTGGTTGTAAAGCAAACTGAGAGAGAGCGGGATCAGGCAAACCAAGGGTAGTTTCAACAGCTGTGCCAGCGGGCACTCCCGCCATTGCACTGCCAGGCATGCTAGCCATACTTGACTGCAACAACGCATAGCACTCTTGTAAACCATGCTTTACGGTCTCGTATACTACTCGCTTTATGCATTGGTTCGACTCCATGGCACGAATCTGAGCCAATACCGCCGACAGATAAATATATCGTTTCAAGCTGGGACTTCCAAATGAGATGATCTGACGGAGCTGGCGGAGAATATGCTGCAGAATCCGAACAATAGGAGCACGAGTAGCCTTGGCCATTTCCTCCTCGGGACCTAACAAAGACTGCTCAGAGGATTCCTCTTCTAATTGAGTGACGATTTCAACGCCAAGGACTGAGAGAATGTCCAGCCCTAAGGGACCCTTGAAGCTGCCGGTACCAGCGAGAATCATCTTGGAAAAGTCATCCGCCGGAATTGTTGGTAGATCCAAGCTATTAGCATAGGATGCAATGACCATTGCAGACTCGAGAGAGACTTTGCGAGAGTAGTAGAAGCGGGGGTCCTTTCGAGCTTGCACCATGAATGGCGCATGCAGAGCCATAATGTATCTGCGGAACTCCATATCCAGAAACTGTTTGTGGAACTCTGTGGGCCGTAAGCCGTGAACTGATGGTGATGCTATACAAGGCTGGGCAAAATCGGCCAATTTACGACAAGCTTGTCTCATCTCTGCGGTGAGCCGCAAAGCCTCTTGATAGGACTTCTCACCAGGAGTGGCCACGAACTGAACAACTTCCATACGAAGGTCGACCGAACATTGAAGCAATGACAGAAAAGACGTATCTGTCCACTGCGTATGCGGCTTTGGGGAAGGAAGTTGGTTTATGTCAGGGCCGATATCCCCGTCGTCAAGGTTGAATGGTGGTCTCGGATTAGATCCCGGGGGAAGCCGACAAAGCAGGCCTGACTCCAAAGCTGAGGGTAGGGCCAGCTCACGAACAGTAGCCCAGAGGCGGGCGCGCATCTCAGACTCAAATGCAGATAAAATAGGCAATTCGGAAGGATCAATGTGAAGTCCCAATCGCATTGCCATCTCGATAAGCGAATTCGTGGAAAGCATATATGACGGACCCATGCGGCAGACTTTGCGCGCCGTTAGTAGCAGGCAGAATACTTGCAATCCATCTAGACTGGCTGTTGTCTCTTCCGACGGCCCTGTAAGCCACCACTGAGCTGCGTAGACCCATTTCGGTTTGAGGCGCGTGAACCGATTATCAAGTGCGCTAGTATGATCCGGATAAAAAGCAGTACCAATGGCAAGAATCAATACTAGCTTCATCAAAAAGGACATTGGGGAGCTTTGGGGCTCTGTCCAGAAAATTCTGTAACTTTCCCAGAAAGACGGGACATGTAGCACACGATAGATTGGCTCGAAGGTGCGTAGATAGCCTTGAACAAGCTCATCGCACACCGGCTGTGGCGGAATAGTGGTACGGAGATCAGGAACAGGGTCATCGAGTGTCACAGCCCTGTGGGACTTGATGGACTTCCGAAGGGCCCTACATTCTTTGACCACATTTGTCAGATCCGATTTCAGCTCTCTGAAAGGAGCTTCGGATTCTTTAGGATTGAAAGACTCAACAACTTGAAGCTGTAACTTGTTTAGTTTCTCGCACCGCAAAGTAGAAAAGTGGGTGGTGCCATACTTTGTCCACCTTATGAATCCAATGAGTAGGGCCGAGGAGCTTCGTCTTGCCGGCCGCCACATTAAGGCGCCGCGGGATATCGCTGACGGTCAAATCACCATCTTTCTGTGTTGTGCGGAAGTGCTGTGGCGTTGCGGTAAGCTGTTGTTCGATGTTGCGTGTTTTCTCGGTGAGGTCATGCAATGCCTGTTCCAGCCGCCGATCACCTCGGGGCAACTGAGAGCTCTTCTCTAGAGCAGTCAATCGATCTTCAAGTGACTGTAGTCGATGCCGGATTTCCCGGAGAGGCAGTTCCACTTTGGATTGAAGATTCGTACCCCCAAGGTCTGTCGGGATCGGGCGGTCCGGTGGTGTCTGATTGAAGGTCTCTGTGACTGGACGCTGGGCAGTGACCGAGGTATTGATACTTTCTACGTCAGCTGAGCTTGGCGATGGACTTTTATCACGATAAGAACAGCGAAGAACAGATCGTGCACGTGTACAAGGGCCACACGGAACGTTGCGGTCGCAGCGCACCTTTCGATGGCGGCATTGCTCGCAGGACTGGGCTGGCCGTCTGCGTTTCCGGGAACCGTCCTCGTCGGCCATGGCAAATCGTTCTCAATAATGCAGACAGAACAGAAGCATCAGCCAAGACGGATCGTGTTGAGATTCATGGTCAGAGATGATCACCGAGGAGGACCTCGGTCTTCAGCTTGATTTGGTGGAGAAATCGGTCTCCGATCTGCGGAATATCTCGGTCCGACATCCAGATTAGGACACGAGTGGACATCCAGCCATTGCCAGTCTACAGGGAACAAATTCCTCTTCAGAACTTCAGTAACTGAATTCAGGTGCATCGGAAACTATAAACCTTTGGTCTGCGAATCAATACCTCAGGATATGAAAGGATCGAGGATCGAATACGGTAACTGAATCCTCGACTGGTCCTATAGTGTTATCTGAACAATCCTGATCCGTTTCTCCACCTGTCGTTGAGAGGCTCGTGAAGGTACCTGTGCTCTATGAGTTGATGATAGTCGGAACCTCGTCAGACGGATGTCTGCAGATTGTGGATGAGGGCTTTGATCTAAGGCTCACGTTTAAGGGCCAGCCCCAGATGCTGAAAGGCTTCAGAGACGCAGACTGGGCTGGATGTTACGACACAAGATGATTAACAGCCAGATATCTCTTCAACATCCGCAGGAGCAATCAGCTGGTGATTAAATCACAAAAGCGTCATTGCCCTCTCGACTTGTGGAGCTGAATGTCTAGGCCAGGCACAAGCAACCACAGAAGCAATCTGGTTGAGAACCCTTCTTAATGAGTTAACATGAGCCAAGGAGAAGCAGCAACGATCATTTGTGGTGACAACCAAGGAGCCATTACTCTGTCCGCAAACCCGCAATACCATTCCCACACAAAGCATACAGAAATCCAATGCAAGTGGTAAGGAGACGGCTGAGACCCTGGAACAGTGGAGGAGTATATCCCAACTACAGAGCAAATTGCTGATGGGGTCACCAAACCTCTTGAGCGAGAAAGGCTTTAAGGATTCAGAGAGCGCTTGGTACTGAGTGACACTTCATTGGCTATGTATCCCAGGCAAACTGGGAATAGATATACATACGAGGCATCCCGCCCCTGTAACGATAACCTTTAGTTAACTAACAAGAATCAACTTTACTATAACTTGTCTCAATGCTCCTGAGTGGTTTCGAATGTGAATAAGAGAAATCCTCATGCGATTGGACCCCTACTGGTAAGATCTTGAAATTACCTGATTACAATTTTTCCACCCTACTTTTCCCTCAAAATGCGCCTTCAATCAGAAGATCTCTTGGTTGACCAGTCAGACGACCCATCTGACCTCTCCCCCTGTTGTATGCCAACGTCGAAACTACCTCTCTATGAGCAGATATTGTCGTCCCCTCAGGAACTGGAGTCAGGCTATCCAGGAAGTTTGCCACATATATACTCTACTCACGGACCGGAGTCTGAATAGCTGTGCTTCCTCAAGCTTGGAATACCAGTAATTACATGCTCCTGGTCGTCAGCTCATTAGGGCAAGCTATATTAAAAAAACTACTCCTTAACATTTGCCCACGGCACAACATGCGCATCTTACTACACACCTCCCGGCCACCAACATATTTCGTGACCGGCTGACCGCACTTGGCGATACATACAGGTTGCCAGCCTACTCAACGAAGCTACAAATAACTAATGAAAAGGCAGATATGCAGCCTTACGCATTCCTAGAGTTCAACTAGGCTGCTGGACGAATCATCGACCTCCATGAGCACAACCCACTTCGGATTCGTAACGAGGTGACGCCTCTGCCCGCCTGGGTGCTTAGTGGAGCCTTAGCGCTTTTAGCCTGGGGGCGGGATCGACACCCCATGGCCCCTCAATTTGCCTAGGGCTTCGGAAAATTGAGGGGCCATGGGGGCAAGGTCTTTGCCTGACCGAGCCGGAGCTCTATCTCGGTCTCCATCCTCGGGGCCGAGGCCGAAGCCGAGTTTGGCTCGGGTTTGCACCCCATGGGTAGGCTTGGTATAAATCCCAGACCTTTGAGAGGAGATTGAAATGAGTAACAGGAGACTTATATTGGCACTCTATCCATACACAGAGCCTAAGCCAACATCATGTCCTCTGTACGTGAGAGTTCCAAGGAAGGGTCCATCGTTCAGCCTCCAAAGGCCCCCGAGCCCGCGCCCTTTCCGGACGGCGGAGCACGAGCTTGGATGGTGGCTCTGGGAGCTGGAGGTGTTCTCTTTTGTACATTTGGATATGTCAATGCTTTCGGGTTCGTTCTCCCTGGAGCGTGTATTTGATATGCTAACGACGAGTATAGCGTTTATCAGGATTACTACATCACCCATCAACTGAGCAACTACAGTGCTTCAGACATCGCCTGGATTGGGTCTGTTCAGACCTTTTTCCTCTTCGGATCCGGCCTTGTCGGCGGTCCGCTATTTGATCGCTATGGAGCCAAAGTGAGCCATCTACGAGATACATGATCCAGTTGGCTCCTGCTAACCGACGACAGGTCATCTGGGCCCCCGCCGTGCTGGTCATCTTCAGCGTCATGATGACCAGCCTCTGTACGAAATACTACGAATTCTTCCTAGCGCAAGGAATCCTCGGTGGTATTAGCATGGGCATGTCGCTCGCCCCCGCACTCTCCTCCACAGCGCAGTATTTTCAGAAAAAGCGCGCCGCTGCAATGGGCATCACCATCGCCGGCTCATCCCTCGGCGGCGTGATCTTCCCCATCGCCCTAGACCACATGCTCTACTCCTCATTAGGCTTTGCATGGGCCGTCCGCATCGTCGGCTTCGTCATCCTCGGCGTCATGTCCTTGGCAGTCTTGGGGATCCGCGCGCGCCTCCCACCAAAGAGACAAAGATTCCTCAAGCTCGAGGCCTTCAAAAAACCCAAGTACGTCGCGACTCTGACCGCGGTCTTCTTCCTCAACGTCGGCATCTTCACCCCCTTCTTTTACCTCCCGTTATACGGCGAGTCCCATGGCATGAGCACCAGCCTAGCCTTCTACCTCATCGCGATCCAAAACGCATCCTCCTTCTTCGGGCGCTTAGTTCCGGGCGTCATCGCAGACAAAATCGGGCCGTATAACATGCTCTCAACGGTGAGCATTATCACCGCCATCATCACCTTCTGCTGGATCCGCATGACCACCAACGCGAGCATCATCGTCTTTTCTGTGCTCTACGGCTTCTTTTCCGGCGGTATCATCGGTATCACCCCCGCCGCGATTGCCAACTGTGCCGGGCATCCTCAGGAAATCGGCACTTACATTGGAATGGGGATGGCTGTTATGTCGGTTGCCACTCTTATCGGCCCACCTATCAACGGCGCGCTGCTTAATGACTACGGTGGCTTTCTCCAGGTCCAGATCTTTAGTGCGACTGTGATGATGTTTGGGGGTGTTCTGGCCTTTGTGGCGAAGATGGTGGGTGGGAAGGAGGCTTTGGCTAAAGGATAAGGATAGGCTGGATTAATTAATTAATGATTGTTTCTTGTCTAATCAAGTTAAAGGCAAAGTGACTGGGGTTAAACTTGTGTATCACATTTAGGCATATATACATTACCTAGTAGCTACATGCTTGTAATTAGACTGGTTGGCCCAATTGGCAAGTCCATATCCAATCCACCTAATCTGCACTTTGGATGGGATCAGGCTGACCTAGATCCAACCCATGTAGATATGGGTTAACCCATTAGGTACATGCGATCTAAGGCCTGTTAGAAAGAATGGGCTTATCTACGTATAAGGGGTATATTTTATATCTATAGATCGGAAATAATCAAACCTAGTTATATATAATGCTTAGATAGTGAGATATCACCTAACTAGGTAGTATGGATATATGTTTGTATTATCCACAATCTAATCCGCATAGATATGGGGGTGAGTTAATAGGCCATGGATCATCCCATAATCTGCATAGGTGGGATTAAATATAGTGCGGATCAGTCCATATCCAGTCCACACCAGCCTAACTGTAATGTAAGGTCTTCGTTAGACTATGACAAGACCAGACAACTCATGTTGGCTTGGTCAAACAATGGCGCAACGCTAGGCTGCCTATCCCTGCAATGCTCTCTCTCTTTCTTTTTTTCCCCTTTCCTTTCTTCCTTTCCCAACTCTCTCTCTCTCTCTCTCTCTCTCTCTCTCTGGGTTCCTTGTAAAGATTTCACATTCCATTCGCCATGGCAGGTTCCATCCGAAAAAATATGATGTTGATGCAGAAGAGTGAGCCTTCCGTTGTATCGTTCGCTCCCTTCTTCATTATGTAACAGTCCCCAGCGTCGCCTATGTCCGCTGTACGCCGCGTCGCAGTAGCATTCCCATCCATTACATTTACGCCTATCATGGGTCTTGCGCGGCAACAACACGTTCGGTATGACATGCGGTAGATTTAGCGGAGATATGTATTAATCAACCTAATTCTCCCTCCAGGATGCAGACCACGAAGCCCGTCGCGACACCACTGAGAGTGATCAAGCCGGAAACCGCCCAGGAAGAACTCGCTCGCCAACGTCTCCGGCGGCCCGTGGCGCCCCATTTGTCCATCTACAAATGGCAGGTTCACTCGGTCAGCTCCGCCCTAGAACGAAACACGGGACTTCTCCTCGCCGGCAGCCTGTATCTCTTCGGCACCTCCTACCTGGTGGCTCCCTGGCTCGGCTGGGATCTGTCATCGGCCGCCCTCGTCGCGGCCTTTGGCTCTTTGCCGGTGGCCGCCAAGTTCCTCCTAAAGTTGTCCGTCGCCTGGCCCTTCACCTTCCATCTCTTTAATGGCATCCGATATGTTGTCTCCTCCACTGGATACACGCTGAATAGCAGGTCTCAGTTTATCAAGATCGCATGGGCGGTCATCGGCTCATCGGCTTTGGCTGCCGTCGGCTTGGTGGCTTATTTTTAAGGGAGATGTCATTCGTGGGAATGTCCACTCCATAGACTCGTGTTTCATGGAAGAGAGTAGCCATTCTGTACTTGTATTCAGAGAGAGATGCCTATGTAGATCAGATTGGGTATTCATCTGATTGTATTCGGGACACTGAGTATACAAGCAAGATGTATCAAAAATGAACCGAGATAGACGAAACAGAAATCAATTGATACAAAAGCACAAATCCTCAAGGCGACCCCGCCTCTCCCATAAAAGGAAACCGAATCGTCTCCCCCTTCATCGTCATCGCCTCCAAGTACCCCGTGATCAATGGATCGATGCCAGCCTGCAATGCGCGCTCGATCCACTCAGCCATAGAAACCTCCTCAAACGGACACGCGAACAATGTCTCCATTCGGCCCCTAAAGTCCTTCATGGACACTTTGTGCCCGCTGGAGTGGTGCACGAATCGTGTGGCAGGCTTGCTCTCCTTCGATTCAGCAGTAGACAGAGCGTCCGCAGCGATCGCCCCAGCTACCCTGTGTACGTCGTCGAAATCAAGATAGCCTTCGAAGTTTTCGAAACGCGGAACACAGCGCGTGAGCTTGGAGTGTTTCAGAAGGGCATTCAGAGCATCCTCGTTGGGCGCCTCGTCTCCGATGACCGCGCACGGACGATGGATTGTAACAGGGAGTCCGGCTTCGAGTGCGGCAGCTGATTCAAGGAACCGTTCACAGGCCCATTTGCTGGCGGTGAAGCCCTCAGAGCCATCCGGGTTGGGTAGGGAGGATGAAACCGAGACCGGGGGGAGAATGGTGTTGCCGGTGAGCAAGGTGACGCGGTTGGACGAGATGAAATGGATGGGGATTCTGTGTGAAAGAGCAAGGCCCGCCAAGAACCTCGTTGAGCCGAGGTTCGCAGTGCGTAGGGAAGAGTAGTTGTTCAGGCAGTGCCCCGTGCTACCGGCGTGAATGATTACGTCTAGGGAGGATTGAAGGACCGCCATCTCGGTTTGGGACAGCCCCAGATTGGGTGTGAGGAGGTTGCCGGTGTAGATGATGATCTTGTCTGACGACGGGAGGAGTGAGGCATCCTCCGGGGTAACGGCGACGCAGTGCACTCGTTCAACGAGCGGGTTGTGGAGGAGGGACTGCAGGATTGTTTTGCCGAGGAAAGTGGTGGAACCGGTAAGCAAGATCTCCTGACGGTCATGGGATTTTGCTTGATGTGTCGAGTATTGGCTTTGAGCCGCAGAGATGAGGTCTTGGGTCAGTGAGGTCTCGGAATCCCAGTCGATTACTGATGTGTGGGATGCTTGATGTTCTTCCTTACGGCGACTGATTCGCCGCGCCATTTGACCGAGAGTCGGAAACTGGTACAGTTCCGCGATGGGGATCGAAACCCCAATCGACTGCTTGATAGCTCCCTGGAGTCCGACAAGCAGCATGGAGGTTCCTCCTCACATGAAGAAATCGGAATTGGCATCTAGTCGTGACGGGCCACTGGAGACCGGAAGGACCTTCTCCCACAACAGGCATAGCTCGCCTTCTGCGAGGCTGAGATGTCTTGCGTTACCGATGCCGGTACCCGCCGCGCTCTCAGCGCAGTGAGTTGGCAGAGGCAGTGCCATGACGGCCTTCCTGTCAACCTTCCCGTTGGCGTGGGTAGGCAGGCGGTCCAGGGCAATGACCACGGACGGAAGCATGTACGGTGGCAGTGGAAGATCTCTGGCGAGCTGCTGAAGTCTGGAGTCGTCGACATGATCTCCGAGAGGGACAACATGAGCCACGAGGAATGGCGAACCGGAACCCAAGCCAGCACGAACGGTTACAACGGCTTCGGACACCAGATCATGTCCACTGGCGAGAATGCTGTTGGCAATTCCATCGAGCTCAATCCGCACACCATTCAATTTGACCTGATTATCGCCGTCCATGCGGCCCATAAAAACTAAAGTGCCATCCTCGAGGAGCCGCCCCATATCTCCGGTTCTGTACATCTTCGTCCAACCGCTGGCAATGTCCTCTGGGCTAGCGAAGGGGTCCTGGACGAATTTCACGTCAGTCTGCTCCGGAAAATTCAAATAGCCTAGTGAAACACCAGCGCCTCCGATGCAGATCTCGCCTGCGATACCGATGGGCACCGGAGATCCGGAAGCGTCCATGATGTAGACCGAGTAGTTGGGCAAGGGCTTTCCCACCAGAGATCCATCGGTGGTGCTCTGGCCTTCCAATTGGAGAGGGATGTCTTGGAACGTCGCAGCAGCAGTGATTTCCGTCGGACCATAGCAGTTGGTCAGCTGCAGATCAGGATGATCCAGCTGGCAAAACTGCTGAACCAACTGCCGCGACACGACTTCGCCGCCCATGCAGGCATGCCTCCATACGTAGGGCTTCTGGAGTTGCTCAAGACCGAAGCGCAGCAACAAGGAGTATTCCGAGGGCGTGGTAATCGTCAGCGTCACTCGTTCCTTTGCCATGAGTGTGGACAGTGCAACGGGGTCTCCCCGCGCTTCCTCCGGTGCGATAACCAAAGTTCCACCGTTGCCCAAAGCGCAGAAAGTCTGCACGACGGACATGTCGAAACCCAATGAGCTCTGTTGTAAAACAACCTCCCTGCCGAGAGCCAGTTTGTCGGTCTTCGCAGCCAGATGATTCACAAAATTTTGCTGGGTAAGCAGAATGCCTTTGGGCGCCCCGGTACTGCCGCTGGTGTAGAACAGGAAAGACGTCGGATTTGATGGAGGCGCAATTGCCGCTACGTGAGCTTGAACCGTCCCCCGTATATCGTCGACATTGGCCAGTCTGGCGAACTTTCCAAGTTCCAGAGCAACGTCATGGGTCGCAGCGTGGTACAAGACCAAGGAGGCTTTGCAGCCATCGACGATGGTACTCAATCGGGCCCGGGGCAGTCGCGTGTCAAGGGGTGTATAGATGCATCCCACGCGCAGCGAGGCCAGCATACAAGCAATGGCGTCGATGGACGGATGAAGAAGAACACCGACGGTATCTCCCGCAGCAACACCTTGGCTGATTAGCGTCGCGGCGAGTTGCTCAACCCTTCTGGCCAGCTGCGAGTAGCTCATGTCTGAATTCCCGTCTTTGATGGCAGTTTCCTCCGGGAACGACTTCTGGATCGCGTCGAATCGTTCCCATAGTGTGCTGGGCCAGGAATACTCAACTCTGGGGCCTTTGGCGACGGCAAGTGTTTTCCCGCTTCGCGATTCCAACGTGACTGGTAGCTGATTGACAGGAAGTGAAGGATTGTCGGACGCAGCGCGAAGGACGTCCACGTACATCTGTAGCAAGAGCTCCGTAACGTGCTCCGTGTACAGTTGTTTTTGGCTAGTCAGTTCCAGCAAGCAAGCCCCCGTCGCAGTCTCTGTGATCCCGAAACTGAGGTCGTACGGGTTCTTTGCGTCGTCGGCAGACGCCATCTCCATTGTGCCGTCTCCAAGGGGAACCTGAAGCATTGCGCCCATGCGATAATTGACAGCGACCTGAAACAAGGGGCTGTGTTCTGCACTTCGCACGACTTTCAGATCGTCGAGAATGAGATCGAACGGGGTCTCCGAGTTGGACAGGGCTTCAAGAATCGTGCGTTTGGTTGATGAAACCAGATCTTGGAATGTGCTGTGCTCCTTCGCATTGAAGCGGACCGGAAGAAGATTCAGGAAGAATCCTACAGTCCCCGAGTGAGCTTCACTAGTTCGGTTCGCATCCGCCACGCCAATGCAAAGATCCTCTATCTTTAACAAGCGGCAGAGGATGCTTTGGATCACGGCTAGATGGAAGTGAAAGGAAGTGACGCGCAAGGACTGGCTGACTTTCCGGATGTGCGACACGAGCTCCCGATCAATTTCGGCACTGACGACATGGCTGTCATACGTGGTGAGCGGCTTGCGAGAAGTCGTCCGAGCCATTGGCAGCAGTGGCATGACGGAGAGTGGAGGCGAGTACTGCTTGCGCCAGTAATCGAGTTGTCTGGTGAAATCTCCTCGCTGAGCGGACTGAAATTGCTTCTCCGTCCAATCGATGTATTCCCTTTCAATTGAAGGGAGCAGTCTCAGGCGATATGCGAGGTCCAGGTCTCGCAAGAAAAGGTGCCAGCTCACCCCGTCCATGACGATATGATGGTACCCGAAGATAATCGTATGCTGTTCCGGCGACAAAGAAACGACAGAGACCGCGAAGGTTTCCGCCTTCTCGAGATCCCAAACTCGACGGCGCAAACGCTCGTATTCCTCTATGACTGTCTGCTCGTTTCCAGGAAGAATAGTTTTGATGGAACTGCTCGGCGGCGACAGGGCTCCTTGCATCAGTGTTCCCTTGTCCGAGTCCATGAAAAAGCACGTTTGCAGAGACTGATGATGGCGGATGGTTGTGTCCAGCGCATTGACGATTCGTGAAGCTGGCAGCTTCCCTCTAACATCGTAACGGACGGTGACATTGTACGTTGTTGGGTCATGAAGATACTGCGTCAAGAACCACAGTCTTGACTGGGCAAAGGAGGCACGTTCGGCGCGAATCATGACTCGCTTAAAAGCACCATCGAGAGGTCCCGCGTCATCATCCAGTGGCGCTGGTGTACTCGGTTTGACGCCAGGAGTAGTAGCTTGGAGACTTGGACTGGTGTGGCTGCTCGACGACGAGAAATTTCCTCGCGAATCATCGCCTTGGCTACTTGTTTCGGAGTCCCCATTGGCACTATCGACTTTTTCAAGAGCATCACTGGGTCCTTGAGGCTCTGTCTTGGGCTTTTCCGTGGCGTTGGATGGCACTGCGTCTTTCTTCTCCAGCTGTAAAGCCAGAAATTGCGAGACCGCATCCTCGCAGATCTGAGCCGTGGTATCGCCGGACAACACCTTGAGGACCGGAACGTCAATGCCAACCTCTTTGATGAACCAGCGTCGTATTTCAATGGCCAGCAAGGAGTCACATCCCAAGTCAATCAGGGGAACATTCAGGTTGACACTATTGGCAGGGAGCTGCATCATCGATTCGAGCTTCCTAGCGAATGCCTCTTGGACAATAGGGGTGACTGTCTCTGCGGAAACCGCCGACCTCAACAGTTGTTTCACGTCTGCTGCAGCTTCCGATGTCGTGGCCGCCGGGCTTCCGTCTACCAATGGCCGCGAAACGTAATGCGAGAACTTTGGATTGTGTTCCCAGGGGGGCCGTTTAGTTGCGTTGAGTGAATCAACGAAAGGCTCTAGCCCCAAAATAATCTCGTGCTGACGCGTGCTGTGAGGCGGACTGGTTAGAATGGTTTGCGCCATCGCATGGTGGATGTCCGATTCCGACAACGGCAGGAAAAAAAGTCTACGGAGTCGTTCCTCCATTGCTTGACCCTTGCGAGCAACATATCCTACATCGGTGACCAGACCAATGTGCAAGACGGACGCTGCAAGCCCCTTCTTGCGACGGTTGGCGGCAAGACCGGAGAGAAACATGTTTGCAGCGTGGTAGTTGGATTGGCCAGCATTCCCAATGATACTCGCCAGGGACGAGAAGAGGACGAAAAAGTCGAGAGAGTCATTTTGGAAGATTTCATCTAGGATCTTGGACCCGTCAACCTTGGGCGCGAGGGTATTATTGAGGGTGTCAGCATCCATCTCGGAGAAGAGTCCATCTTGGAGGACCATGCATGCGTTGAAAACACCAGCAATGCGCGGCATTGACTTTCTGATCTCTTCAACCAGCCGACAAACAGCGTCTCGGTCGGTGATGTCGGTCCGGAAGACTCGGATATCGACAGCACCCCGGCGCATGTCTTGCAACAATTCCTCGTCGACATTTGGATTCCGGCTCGTCAGAGCAATAATTCGGGCGCCATTGTTAATCATCCAGCGGCAGAGTGAAAGACCAAGGTCGCCTGTCATTCCAGCAAGGAGGTAAGTGGCGTTTGGCGAAAATAGGTTGCTCGTGCTAAGTGGTTGAAGCATCAATTCCACAGGTTCGACACCGGTCCAATCAACCGTCTGCAGTTTGGAGGGCGTGGCCAGGGGAAGGTCTCTGATTTGGATGCTCGGTCTGTTACGCGAGGAGCTGGCATATGTGAGAGCGGCAGAATATGCGGGACCCAGGAGGCTGGCGTCGAGCTGATGGAGCGTCATGTTGAATATTTTGCAGTGTGTCGGGAGACAGGCTGTGAGGTTTTCGGGTACCTCACCAGTACAGTCGATGAGGGCGTCCAAGTTCTCGGGTAGATGAGACTGAATAGCGCGGCGCGAGGCTCTAGGGTGGAAGTAGATCCAGTCTCTGAAGCAGCTGGCCTTGTCGGTAGCGGCGAATGAAAAGTGGCGTCCCGTTGACAGCAGTGCTTGAGCAAAGTCGTGGCTGGGTTGATAGACAAGTGTTATATTCGAGGCCGGAAGGCGGCTGCAGATGTTTCTCGCCAGGAGATGGCGGGCTGTCGCTTCAAGTACCGCGGCATCACAAGGCTGATCGTGATCCACGGTCAAGACCATGTGGTTGGGGACGTCCACAAAGTTCGCGTTCGAGGTGGAGAGTGCCAGGGCCGGGTGTCCGCTCTCTCTCAGAACACCACTGCACAAGTAGCATGGAGAGCCCCCAGAGACCGCGAGAAGGAGAGAAAAATGGACTCGGAGCCGATCATGGCCGCGCTGGACGGGGCTATCTACCATGGACGCTCCCTGCACCAGGCGCAGTAAACCTCCAGAGTCTTCTAAAGTCACGCACGTGGTCTCGATATCGACTGCCTTGGTAATGACTCGCCGACTGGCATTGTACGTCTCGTTCATTGGTGTTATGGGAAGAACCCGAGGAACAAGGCGTCGCCCGTCTCGGACTCGGATTTCCGGCTCCATTGCCCACAGCATGTTCTCAGCCGAGCACAGAGATCCAATCACCAGCTGCAGTAACATCTGCGAGAGCTGTTGTGCACATGCAGGGGCATTATCAATAGCATCGACGTCGACGAAAAGGAGGTTCAAACCAGGGACCTCTGTTCGCAATGCTCGCCCAATACCGACTGTCATGTTCACATGGGCGTTCTCACCATTGGCGCTGTTGATGGCCCAGACAACATTCCTTGTCCCACTCAAAACCCTTTGCAGAGCCACCAGCGTCTCGCCGGTCATGGCAGTGGAGAACAAAGGCTGATCCAGCTCTTCGAGGCAAATGATGTTTTCGAATTGAGCCAGCTGATCCAGCTGCTTGGTTTGGATACTGTTCCAAACCTGAACACGGCTCGTCCAGGAGGCGAGGTAGTGACGAATATCCTGAACTACCTGCACAGTTGGATTGGTTCGGCCTCCGATGATCAGAATATCCCCCGCTGGGACAAGGCTCGTCGACAATGCCGGATACCTGAGCATTTGTATCTTCTCATCAATGGCCTGGCTCACCATGAGTGAGAAAGAGTGCTTGTCTTCATCCAACATGTCCGGCCTCAAACAGTCCAAGCCGGAGAAGCCAGTATCGAGAAGCAGCCGACTCCACTGCTCAACCGATATGGCGGGCGACAGGACACGTCCGTCATCCACACCGTACCACCACCCTGGAAGGCCACCCATGATGAACTGCGTCCGCAAGACATGTGGGCCAGTAATCTCCATCAGAACAAGATACCCACCGGGTTTGAGCAGAGCCCGAACATGGTTCATGGTCTCTTCCAGCTTGTGCGTGGCATGGAGGACATTCGCGGCGACGATGACGTCGTAACTGCACTCGTTGAAGCCCTGAGCGCCAACCTCCTTTTCCACATCCAAGACCCTGAACTGTATTTTTCCTCGTGCGTCCTCGAACTTTTCAGCCGCGGCTTTGAAGAAGGCGGGGGAAATATCGGTGTATGTGTAAGATCCATACCGGCTGCCAATCCGGTCAAGGATACTCCGGGTCGTTCCACCAGTGCCGGCGCCGATTTCCAGGGTGTTTGCGTGGGGATACTTGAACGTGATCTGCTCCAGAGCGTCCGAGACCGCGTTATTAATGGCAGAGAAGCCATATCCTTCCATGTAAAAGCGGTTGAGCATGTCATCCTGAACCATGACTTCTAGTAGCTGGGTGTCACCACGCACAACGGAGGCCAGATTCTCTCCAACCGCGTGGATGAGTCGCATATCCACACGAGACGCATATGGCTCGCTTACAGCAAGGATGGTATTCCAATCATCTTCAAGCCATGCTGACTTCGCAATGGGATGTTGCCCGCTGCGCACGGAGGCGACCTGGAAATTGACGGCGTCAAACATTCGTTGGTGGTACCATTGGAATTGGGCGGTCTCCGCACCGACCTCTTCAAGAAGCTTTTGCCAGTAGAACAGGGATACTCGGTCCAAAGCCTCTACTAGATGATTGTCGTCCTTGGCTGCACAGCTGGCCACTTCGGTGACGCCTAACGAGACATCAGGGCCCCAGACGGTCTCAGAGAATAAGCATCTATCGTTCTCCGGCTGAGGTTCGGACATGGATTTCATGGAGATCCCTTCGACCTGGAGGGTAGCATGCTGAGATTCGCATTGGTAAAGCTGGATATCACCTTTAAGAAGTGTAGAGTCCGCTGCGGTAACGAACGCGTCCGCCTCCATTTGAGTCTCGTCTTTTCCGATTCGGTAAGTCACATTGGGGTTCACGGCAAGTCTCTCAATGTGAATCGGCAGATAAGGGGCCCAGATCTCTCCACTGGCGGGGGATGAAAAAGCTGTATAGAGTGACTGGAATGCAACATCCAAGAAGCCAGGGTTGACAACATAGTCGTCCAATCTGCATATCTGGCGCCCAAGCAGCCTTGACGGATGAACAGCCGAGAGATCGCTTGCCAGAAACTAGACCACGGAAAATTCCCTGATAATCCAGACCAACGTTGTTCATGGCGTCGTAGAACCTCCCCATGTCTACTGGTACATTGTTTGCTGGTAGCCGGGTTCTTTGTGGCAGGGCATCTGGTGCCGGATCGCCATAGTTGATGATGAGACGGCCTGTGCATGCTTTGGCCAAGGGCTCGGTGCCCTCGGTGGAGCAGAAATAACACGCAAACTCTGCTTCCAGTCGATCGGTGGCTTTTCTCCCATCTTCCGCGTCGATGACCCGGGCAGTGAAGACGGTTTCGACACTTCCTTGCTCTGGAATAACCAATGCGCGGCGCAGAGAAACATCCTCAATCTCGAACAAAGTGGCCGGGCGGCCATCTGTCAGCGCCCTTGCTGCCTCCAGAGCCATAGCCACATAGCCAGCTCCGGGAAACAGAACCTGTCCTTGAAAGACGTGGCCCTTGATCCAAGGCAATTCGCTGAGTCGCAGTACGTTTCGCCATCTCCGGCTGTCATCAGTGTCATCGGGAACTCGACGGCCTAGTAATTCGTGCGGAGTATCCTGCCGCAGCCGATATTGACGGGAGATACGAGATTCCCTCCAGTACTGCTTGCTGTGATCCCAAGAGTAGGGTGGCAGGTCTTTCAGCACCTGTGGCCGCAAACGATCGGCTCCCTTGAAACCCTTGCGGTATCCACTCATGTCGACGAAGTCCGGTCCGAGTCGCGACCAAACGAAACCGACCGCCGCCAGAGAAGGCCTCGATCTCATTGTCGCCGCGCCGCATGAGTCCGGCGTAGGCCGGGATAGGCCCATAGACTGCCTTGATTGTTTGCTCCACGGGGCCTTTTAGGGCAGGATGTGGGCCCAGTTCGACAGCCACATCAAAGGGGCCTCCGTTCCAGATCGAGGTCTCAACTGCTTGCGAGAACAAAACCGGGTTGCACATGTTGTCCACCCAGTACTGGTCGGCCAGGGTCGATAGGCCCGCCTCTAGCAATTGGGTATCGCCACGGACGCTGGATATCAACACGCAGTCCTTCCGGGGCGGATTCACCTTAATCTGGCAGGCTCGCAATGACCTTAGGTATGGCTCCGCGCATGGCTGCATATGATGCGAATGGTAAGCAGTATCGGTCCGCAAGATCCGTGCAAATTTCTTCTCGGACTCGAAAATCTGCATTGCTTCCTCGATGGCGTCGATGTCGCCGGAAAGGGTAACGCTCTGTGGGGAGTTGCTTGCGGCAGCCACAAGACGACAGTGCCATTGCGGCCGGGCACAGAATTCCTCCGCTTCGTCAAAGGACATGGCGGTGGCCAGCATGCGTCCGGCTTGACCTCGTGTCCCAGAAGCTAATTTGGCGTAGTAGCCACGGTAGTATGCAATCTTGATCGCGTCCTCTGCATCGATAATCCCAGCAGCGTATACAGCAGCAATCTCGCCGGAGGAATGGCCCACTACCGCATCCAGTTTGATGCCCGCGGACCGCACCATGTCCACTAGCCCTATCTGTAGAGCGGTACAGAGCGGCTGTGATAAGGCTGCTTCCCCGATGCGAGACTCGGTCGCTCCTCTCACGAGCTCGTCCACCAAAGACCATGCAGGGCCGTCGTGCAGTGCGGCCAAAGCAGCCTGGCACCGCTCAATAGCTGCACGAAAGACAAGATTCTGCTGGAGGAGCGCGGAACCCATTGAAGCCCATTGCGCACCTTGGCCAGTGAAGATACCAAGGACTCCGGGGGCTTCGGCGGGATTCAGCGGCTGGTATTTGATCCCGGCTGTCGAGCTCGTGGTTTCCTCGGACTCCGCAACGAACCGATCCATGAAGTTGAGCAATCGCTGCACGGTACCACCTGTGAAGAAGGCTTTGATCGGCAAGACGCTCCGCCGAGCATGTAATGTCCACACCAGACTTTCAAGATCGATGGAGGCGTCGGACCTGATCCGCTCCGCCATGTTTTTGACATTGGCAACCAGGGACGTGCTAGAGCTGGCGGAGAATAACAGAGGTCCGATGAAGAGATCTTCGGGTGTTACGGTCTTCTCCTGTACTGGACTGCTCAGCGCGTCGTATCCTTCAATGATAGCATGGGCGTTTGTCCCGCCGAACCCAAAGCTGTTGACACTGGCACGCATGGGAGATCGGCCAGTATCCGGCCAAGGTATCGGGGCTGTTGGGATTTGAAGACGGTCGCAAAAGGGGATAACCTCAGGATTTGGCTCGTGGAAGTGCATGTTTGGAGGGATGGTGCGGTTCTTGATGGCGAGAACAGCCTTGAGAACTCCAGCAATGCCCGCACAACCTTCTAGATGGCCAATGATTGTCTTCACGGATCCGACGTACAGCTTGCCGTCGGGGATAAGCAGGTTCGAGGCTGTGCCTGTTTCAGTGGGGAAAAATGCATCGTGCACAGCCCGCGCTTCTATGGGGTCTCCAGCAGCAGTGCCTGTTCCGTGGCACTCGAAGTACTGGCATCGATCCCGGACAGGGTCAAGGCCTGCATCCCGGTATGTTTGCCGAATAAGCTCCGTTTGGGACGCTGCGTTAGGCATGGTGATACCCTTGGTACGGCCATCGGAGTTGACACCCGTGCTGCGGATGACTGCCTCGATGTGGTCGCCATCCATAATGGCTCGACTCAGCGGCTTGAGGAGCAATACACCGAACCCTTCTCCCCGAGCATATCCATTGGCAGCCTTATCCCACATCCTCGAGCATGAGTCAGGGGACAGCATATGCAGGCTCGATTCAGCGATGTACATAGCGGGATCAAAAATCAAGTTTGCACCGGCAACAATGGCGGAGGTTGCATCACCAGCGCGAAGGCCCTGGACGGCCTGATGCAGGGCTACCAGTGAGCTAGAGCAGGCCGTGTCAACAGTCACTGACGGGCCCTTTAGATTGAAAAAGTATGACAGTCGATTTGAAAGAATGCTAATGGAGGTGCCGGTGGCATTGTATGTAGGTAGCACTTCTGAATCTCGCAGCTGAATGTTGCTAAAATCTGTGTTCATCACACCGACGTGAACAGATGTTTTTGAACCATTCATGGCCTCCAGTGAGTAGCCGGCCGCCTCAAGGGCCTCATAGGTAGTCTCCAACAGCAGCCTCTGTTGAGGATCCATCCCTTCTGCCTCGCGAGGGTTGATATTGAAGAAAGAGGCATCAAACTGACGAGGATCCTCTGATAACAGGTATGACATCCCACGTACATCTGTGCTGCCGTGGTGTTCTCCGTCTGGATGATAGAACCGAGCGAGGTTCAGTCTTTCGGGAGGAAAGGTCTTGCGAAGGTCGACGGGCTCTTTTAACCGGGTCCATAGCTTTGAAGGGCTATCTGATTGCCCAGGAAATCGACAAGCAGATCCAACAATGGCAATCAAGTCTTGCATGCTGAGAGAGTGATGTGTGATTGTGAAGAGTAAAAAAGAAGAAGGCGGACAAGTATTGCTCTGCCCCGTAGTCCCCTAGTGTATGTTTCTTGAGAGGTTATACATAGGGCTGGTATGTATCTATCTAAATCACCAAGGTATACATAAGCCATGTATTGCTAAGGAATATAGTGGGTCCTCTATTGAAGCCCTAATTGCTGCGATGGATATCGCGAAATCGCGGGACAGCGGGATATTCAGCGGGATTACGGGAAATCCACGGGATTTCCACAACGATACTCCGAGATGCTCAGAGAGCCATCAAGTGATTTTGAAATGGAAAAGAACCGGGCTGCCCTTGAGTGCAGAGAAACGAGCAGCTCGCTTGGTAGTAGCTTTCCGTATCCCCTTGCCTGTCACCATTATCTCCCGCAATGATGAGTCTCGCCACCACGCTTTCGAAGGAGAGTTTGCAAACTCTCCTCCAGCACGCCACCTTTCTGGATGGAATAAAGTTTGTTTTCTCTGCATTCGTGATTTATTCCTGCTGCATCATTGCAGTAGACTGGATCGTCTATGAGTGGAAACGCAAGGCACATGGGTGTGGCAAGATCCCTCGGTACCCTCATCGCGATCCGTTCTTCGGCTTCGATGTTGTGCTTGGTATGGCCAAGGCACTGCGCAATGACTACTTCCTTGTCTGGCTCAACAAAGTCCATGAGAATTTGCCAAAGACCTTCTTGGTGAACTTTGTTGGCACCCGGTTCATCTACACTATCGAACCTGAGAATATGAAGAGTATGTCCGCCATCAACTGGCAGGACTTTGCTGTCGGTCCAATGCGGCGCAATAACAAGGCGACTGCACCATTTGCGGACAAAGGCGTCAACACTGTTGACGGCCATGAGTGGGAATTCAGCCGATTTCTGATTAAACCATTCTTCAAGCGCGAAACCTTCACAGATACCACTCGTCTGGCCATCCATGTTGATCGAATTTTTGGACTACTGCCAGCGGACGGTGAAACAGTCAATATTCAGCCACTCATTCAACGTTGGGTAAGCCCCTTCCTCTCTGCTGCTGCGAGGACCTCCGTCTGACCTCGGGATCTAAAGTTCCTTGACGTGACCACCGAGTCTCTTTTTGGTGAGTCAATCGAGTCTCTGGTGTATCCTGAGAGAGCCCCAATATGCTGGGCCATGGTGGACGTTCTCCGAGGTCTTCGACTGCGGCTTCAATGGTACAAGTACATCTGGCTCTTCCGCCACCAGGCATGGCTCGATGCCGTGGATGTGGTCCATAAATACCTGAATGCGCATATTGACCGAACGTACAAAGAGCTTGACGAATATAAACGCCAAGGAAAAGACCCGGAGACGGCTGATCGCAAGGACCTGCTATGGTATATAGCGAGCAATCTGCAGGACAAGGATGCCCTCCGATCCCAGCTCTGCTTGATCTTCGTGCCTAATAACGACACGACCTCCATCTTCATTAGCCATATCTTATGGAATCTTGCTCGTCATCCAGAGATATACGAGAAATGTCGCCAGGAGGTACTCGCGGTGGGCGACGCGGAGTTGACATTCTCGGTACTGCGAAATATGAAATATCTCATCGCCATCCTCAATGAGAGTGCGTAGCTGATTTCCCTTCCTTTTTTTTTCTGTATTCGTGACCCAGGGACTGACATACAGGAAAGCGCACCGCCTCTTCCCCAACGGGGTGACCCAGGTGCGGAAATGCATCCGAGATACGACATTGCCCGTGGGCGGGGGCCCTGATGGCAAGCAACCGATTTTTGTCCGTAAGGGCGATGTCGTCCAGGTCAACAAAAATGTCATCCACGAGATCGCGATATCTGGGGCCCCGATGCAGAGGAATTCCGGCCCGAACGATGGGAGAATCTGCGGCCCTACTGGAACTTTGTTCCCTTTGGTGGAGGGCCCCGTCGTTGTCCGGCTCAGATGCTGGTGACAGCAGAAGCCAGCTACTTCCTGGCCCGACTGATGCGCGTCTATAAGCGGATTGAAGCCAGAGACTCAAATCCCTATGTCGGAGTGATGCGCGTCGGACCTTCAAACAAGACTGGCGTGCAAATCGCGCTGTTCAAGGACTGAGAGAAGCGAAGATCTCAAGATCCTGTGTTGTAGATAGGTTCTAAGTAGTCGAAACCTTGCAGCAACACGATGCCTTTAACGAGTTGATGTTCATGAAAATATACGAAGAGCAGAAGTACCTACGATAACTGGGTCACCAGTGATGGCCTGGCTGGATGGACCTTGACTAAGTAACGAGGTTTGAATCCACAGAACCTCCTGTTATTCTGAGGGCCACTAAATTATTTATAAGTTCAACTTTGACGATTTTCACCAAATCGAGAATCGCCTACGGGGCAATGCAGGCCATGTCCGCCTTGTCGTGGACATTATCCCTAACGAGTGTATGCTTTTCGAGTCCTGCCCAGAATGACTTGCCTCTTGTGGTGTCAAGATAATCTTCAAGAGCACCCTTACTGGGCTTGTTGTGCTGCATAATCAGAATATCGTTCACACAGGTATTTGCCCTGCTGTTTACTTACAATACCCCAGGGGCAACAACTTATTCTTCGTAGCTAGAAAAGCAGATAATGTTTTCCCTACCTGGCATAAGCCGAGGGTGGGACAGTAATCTGTGCGTTTATTGGGGCTGCAAATTGATCTTGGACTTCTAAATGAGGTCTTATGCTTGGTTCGTGGCAATGAATGTGAATGCCTTTCATATATATAATTACGTACTAAGAGAATTAGACTCAATAACTGAGCTACAAGGTGCTCCTCTCTAGTACCTGTTCATGGCCACCCAAAGGAACCAGGATCAAAACCACTGGCCTGGGCTATAATGCGATCAGCTTCTTCGCGGCTGCGAATGTTGTCACCGTGCCATGAAACGAATCCGTCTGGTCGAACGAGAACTAGAGAAGCCCCCCAAACCACATGAGCATGCACTTCCCCTGGTAACTCAACAGTGTCAAGGGGCACGGCTCTCTTCCGCGCCGACTCTCTCAGCAGCCCAATGGACGTGGCCAATTCTTCCCTCTCTGGGAACGCAACAAGCGTGAAGCCGTCACCGAAAAGATGGGACACAGGCGTCCCGGTCGTCAGATACACATGAGGAGGTCGGTAACCCGGCATGGTGCTTGGTGTGTACTTTCTGGGATGAAACTCTGGCGGAGAAAGCTCGACGTCAAGAGGACTAGGAACACAAAGACCAGACACATAGCGGTATCCCATCTCCACCCCGATACTCTGGTTATGGCCGTCGTATGTTTGGAGATAGGAATGCATGGCTGATCGCATTTGAGCGCCCGCCTCACTGTTGGACTCGATCACGTCGGCGTCGAGACCCAGTTCGGCCGACATCTTCATCAAGTTGCCCATGTGGACCTTTGACCATTGCAGTGCCAGTTCTCCCACAGGCCGGCGCTCTTGCTCATAGGAGAGCAGTGTCGCGGGACCAGCCCACCCTTGTATCACGGCCGCCAGCTTCCAGCCGATATCGTAACCATCTGCAATACCAGTGTTCATTCCGTAGCCGCCCGTCGGCACAGTCTGGTGGCATGCGTCTCCCGCGATGAATATATGATGCTTAGGCCCTGCGTAAGAACGCGCCAGTGCGACGCTAGGTGTCCACGTCGAGCGAACAAGGACCTCGTCAATCTTGATCGGGAACGGTCGGCCACTCATCCCACCCAGAAGGTCATAGACGATCTCCTCCGACGAGAGCTGTGTATGATCCACGTCGGGCCGCATGAAACGATGAACGGTCCTGGTGTCGATTTCGTCCTGTGCGATGACGGCCCCCTTGATGGACCCGCCATCACTCGCAGCATTGGGGAAAAACAAGTGCCAGAATTGGCCTTGCTTTTGGATGCGTGAGAGATCTCTTGATTTGAAATGCACGAGGACCGCGTACCCGTGGCTAACATGTTGTCAATGATCTGTCTTGCAAACTTGCGTGTCAACCTGGTAGCCAGGTCAGTACTTACATCGGGCCCCCGTCCAAGGGAATATCCAGACTCTTGCGTATAGCACTGTGGGCGCCATCGCATCCGACTACAAAGTCAGCACTGAATTTCCAGTCTTCACCTGTCTCCGGATGGATGGCGTCCACTTGCGCTCCATTGTCAAGTTCACTCGCCTCGGTAACCTTCCACCCAGCACGGAAGTCAATAAGCGGATTCTCCATCCCAAGCCCTTTAAGCCACGCCACAAAGATCTCCTGGGAAACACGCAACCACGGTTCCGACGGCATACTCCCATCGTTCTGCTCCTTAATCCGTCTCTGGTACTCGTCCGGACTCGGCAGGTCCCATGCGGTGATTGCTTTCTCGGCATGTAGCCCGCTCGAAAAGAGACATGTAAACGGATAGTGCGAGGGCACGGCGACCTTTCGGAGTGCCTCTGCAATCCCTAGACTCTGATATATTTCCATCGAGCGTGCATTCGTGAGGTCCAATCTTCGGCCACTTGGTTGTCGTCAGGTTGCGCTCGAGAATCACACTGCGCACGCCGTACTTGGCTAGTGTCGTGGCCGTGATGAGGCCGACGGGGCCGCCGCCCACGATGAGGACGGTTCCTGGATCGAGGGTTTCGGTAGGCATGTTTCTTTCCGGTGGATGGAGTGGGTACTGGGGAAATGCTGTATTAGAGAACCTACCCTGCTATGACTGACTTAAATGGTTCTGTGCATTCTTCTTGTCGATTGAGTGCCTAGAGGACGGCTGGTGTCTGTCTGCTATTTTCCGCCTCGGAATATTCACGCGCACTGCCCCGTTTACCCTCGGGTTTTGAGATCGATCCACTATGCTCGGAAAATACACTTATTGGACTTCAGGTACATTATGGCTGATCCTAGATGTTGTTCTTCTTCGTAGATACTGCATATCATGTGTACCGAGACGTACACGATGGTATACCTCCGCTCGTAAAGTTGATCTCGTAGAATATCCACCTAAACATTCACACATCCATGAAGAGCATAAATCATCAAAGAAGCTAATGTCTCGCCACCTCATACACAAGCTTTCTTCCCGAAACCTCTCCCCTCTGTAGCAGGCCCAGACCCTCCGGTATACCATCCCATCCGCAAGCCCTCACCTCCGACATAGGCGGCCTAATCTCACCCGCATCAATGATTTTCTGAGCGATCTGGAACCAGCTCTTCGCAAACTCCCAGTCCTGTGGACGCGCATCCCTCTTAAACGGCCTCTTCCACGGAATCGGCTGGTCGTACATCGTCAGGCTAAGCACCCAGTTCGGCTTGACGCTTCGCCGCGTATGCCCCCGGATGGGGAACGGGTCGAGACTGAGGTACTGACCGCCGGATGGCCCGATGGCCTCGTAGCAGATGGCCATCGACCGTGTGTCCGTGATGCAGTCGAGGGCGTAGCAGAGGGTGCCGGAATAGTAATCTCGGATTTGACGCCCGCATGTAGGGGAGTGGTAATCGAACGCCGCGATGGCGCCGAGGGATTTGACCAGGTTGAAATTATGGGGCGAACAGGTTGTTATCGGGGTGTAGCCAGAGCTGCAATGGAGATGGGTTAGTAACGTTCGACTTGCCTGCCGATATCACGATTATTATATGGGGTTGCCTACCGCCTAAGGATCTGGATCGCAAGCGTCCCAGTCGCCGTTGAACCGCCGTAAACTAGAACATATGGCGACTTGCCAGCCGGCTCAGGCTCCATGGGCAGTTTTAAACAGTGATATAGCGACATCCCTACAGTCGCCAACCCCACACCCAACTTCGCAGCCTCATTGTAGTCCATATTCTCCGGAATCCTAAACAGTAGATCCGCGGGGACAGCAACGTACTCTGCGAATGCGCCATTGTCCAGCCTATTTGGATTATTGCCGAAGACGCAGCCACAGACTCTGTCGCCAATGCTGAACTCCAGATTGTTGGTATCGGAGCCTGTTGCGACGACGTCCCCTGCGAAATCGCAGCCCAGAGTTGCGCCGACGGTAGGTGACATTTCGGCTGACTTGGCGTCGAAGGGGTTCAACGCGATGCTCCTGACGCGGACGAGCAGTTCGTCATTCTGGGGGGACGGGAGTGAGCATGGGACTGCGGCGATGCGTCCTTCCGGTGTGATTTTTAGGGCGGTTTGTTGCTTTGGAGGAATCATTGTGGCCCAAATCTGGACTAAAGGTAAGCAAAAGTTACAAGTGTACAGGAGGTTGATGAGCTGCCTCCAGCTTGCCTTAGTATACCAACACCTAGTCGGTCTCTGTGCTTCTCGTGACGGGAATCTCGGAGAATTGCCCATCGCCCCCAACACCAGGATTTCAATTTTCCGAGTCCCTCTCACCATTCCCTGTACATATCCACCATGACCGGAAAAATGGTCGACGATTCGGTTTATTGCGGGGATTCGCAATGGCATTCAAGATCAAGCCTGCTGTCTGAGCACCTTTGGGTATAAGCATTCCGGCGTGGAGCTCCAATCGATGACACGTACCTATCTTTGCGCAGTCATTTGCAAAAAATGGGTTTCGTCGATACTCTGACACAGGCATCCGATCTAGACAAGCAGAGGCTGAGGACCAGTCCTCAAGTCCTCAAGTTGTTTGCCCTGATATTATTTGCCGTGCTCGTACTCAAAATCCGCGCCAGGCACCGAGCAGACAGAATCACGAACCAACATGGCAGGAAAATCTGCGAGCTTCCTGGAGATGCCCGCGTGTCCAAGTTCGCTTTCAGGTACGAACGTCTCCGATCTGGCGGTCGACCTCGCCCAACAAGCGGGAGGAACCAGCTAATGAATGTTCATTAGCCAGCAGCTCTCCGATCAGGGCAAGGCTCTCGCCGGAGGGAAGCCGTTCATCATCCGCAATGGCCGGGCAAGAGAGCTGGTGGTGACCAAGCCAGAACACATCTATGACTTCTACAAGGGCGATACTAAGCGTACGCCTCCTGGCACCTTGAAACCATAAACGGCTCCGTAGGGTACTGATACAGGACCCGCAGATCATCCTAAGCCACCATATCTGAACATGGGAAAGTACTTTAGCGGGTCAGTCAGTCTCCTTCGCACCTTACGCTTATCAGTCCGGGCGAAATCTTAACGCAAGTCTCCAGCATTCTTGGCCATGCAGTCGGAGCAATAGCGGGAGAAAGATGGTCGATGATCCGTCGCTACTTCGACCCCGAGTTCTCGTTCCAATCCGCTCGACAAGCGATCCCGCAACTCACCGCGAGCATCAACCGATGGCTTGATGATCTGCCACTGCAAGGAGCAGGAACGGAGAAAGAGTTTGCACTGGAGATCAAGAAGCCCTGTCGGTTTTCGCCGCTCCGGCTTGCGGCGGAGTTTGTGTATGGGGAGGTTTTTGATGATGAGGTAGCGTAGCTAACCCTACATCCTCCCTCTCTTTTGCTTTATTGTCATCTTTACATTCTATGGGCCATTGGCTGATGGCTGGCTTGGCTGCCAATAGCGTTTCTCTGCCTTATTGGAACTAAATGTGCTCCACGAAGTCATCCTGCATGACGTGATCGCCAACAAACGGCTGGCGACAAGGCTAGGCTGTTGGTTGGACCATAAAGCCGCCAAACGGATGGAAGAATTCCGTGCTAAGTGGAGGGAGTTCAATCTTAGGATCATTCAGTCTGCTCGGGAGGCATCGCAGGTGTGCCCTGCCGAGAGGATATATCGCGGTGTCGAAGAGGGCGATTTGAAACTTGAGGAGGTACGTACGGTCCACCCTCAGGATATACGGTGGCGCTGATGTATCCAGTTCCTGCACACCCTAGACGAGATTCTCTTCGCCAACGTCGACGTCAGCTCCGCGGTCCTCAACACTCTATTTGAGCATCTAGCTGCGAACGCGGCTTTTCAACAGAAGCTTCGAGGGGAGGTTGAAGCGCATATTCAGAGTCGCACCCACACCCCGGACACCGATACTGAAACGGATACTAATACCCACACCGGAAAATATCTATCAAAACAAGATACACTTTTAAACTACGCCGTGATGGAGGCTATGCGCTTGTCGCCGGCCTTTGGTCAGTCTATTTCCTTTCCTTTCACTGTCAATAACTCCAGCTCTCTAATCTAATCCTCTTGTCGCAGCATTCTCTCTCCCCGAATGCACGGCTGTCCCTAAAGAGATTGGGGGGTATCGAGTTCCCGCACGATGTCCTGTCGTGATAGACGCCAAACGCCTGAACGCGGACCCAGCCACCTGGGGCAAAGACGGGGATACGTATCGCCCCGAACGATTCCGGGATATTCCGTCCTCGAAGTGCGATACGGGTTTATGCGATTTGGTGTCGGGGCGGCGAGTGGACGATGTCTCGGGAAGCATTTGGCGGATACGGTGTTCAAGTTGACCTTGATGGCTGTCCTTGAACGGTATAGTCTCCATTCGGGGCAGGATGGGCCAGAAATTGAACTGAGATATATGAATCAGAAGGAATGAAATATGCGTGAGGCCTGACCGTCATAGATGTCAAGGCTCTTAGTTCGAGAATTCTGTATAGTTCTCTGGGTAGTCCGTCCATTTCAATGCAATCTTACTACTGCGAGCCTAAAGCACTTTGAGGGGTAAGAATGTAATTTTGTCTTAGTATCCACAATGAGTTTCTAAGCCCCATGATAGCGAGAGACTATCAATGAGCCCCCCATAGATTATTATTAACATACGCAACGCCGTTGAAGAAAACAAAGCCCGCAAACATTCAGACACCTTATCTCTGCAAATGCATCATTTGGATTCACAAGTTCACACCCTCCTGCCCGGTAATTGGATTGGTTGGCGGTTATTGCGAAGTCTGTCCATTATTCTTGCTTTGGGCGCCGGCACTATTTTAAAGCAAACAGCAGTCAGAGCCAAGTTCAACAAGATGGTCGTCACTGAGGAAAGCAAGTGGTGGCTTACTGGTAGATCTTTTTGCAGACAAAGTAAGTGGCCGTTCCGACAAGGGCGACTTTGACCAGACCTCCTATGCCACCAACGCGAGGGTTGAGGCCGCGCATGTAGTTCTGGCGATAAAACCGACGGCCTCGACCGGCGAAAGATGGGGCTGGGTCGTAGTAGGTGTAAGGGGAATGCATTTGAAATCTTCTTGAGATGTTGTTGGAAAGGATTTTTCTCGAGTAGAGGAGTGCAGGAGTAGTGAGAAGAGGAGAGTGAGCAATATATCTATGCTAGCTTCGGTGTTACTGAGCAAGTCCGACCCCGAGGCCGAGAACCGAGCCCGATGTCACAGCCACCAACAGTTCCATGCTTATGGAGGCCCCACAGCGGTAATTCCACTGTGACTTGTTTTCCTAATCGGCGAGCCTCATATTGTCTATCTACACCTTCTGGCCTTCTGTTACGGCACCTGGAGTATATCACATCCTGGTTTGAGAAGAGCTGAGCTTTCACCGCAGAGTACCTATCTACAATGCCTCTGCGAACGGCACGACTGCTCGTCCTACGGTATCTGGTTGGATGCGCTTGGACCTGGTCTACGGCCGAATGACCTGAGTCACATCTATGCATATCTCAGCCTCAAGGGCTCGGATCTTACAGTCAAGTTCGAAACCTCATTCGCCCCCAAAAAGCAAAGCTTATTTCCAAAGCCTACTGTCAAGGCGCTATTTATGCATAGATTTATGTTATCAACTCGTAAAATCAAAACCAAACTGAACTAAATCTATCCTCTTCGTCAAATTCTGTTTCCAAACATTCCAGAAGCCCGAGAAGTCCTCACAGTAGGTCAACAGGGTCCTATCATCAGGGTTACCTGAATAGCCAACTTTGGCATCAGAATTTGGAAAAATCCCAGATCGAAAATATTCATCCAATGTGACGTCCTTGTATACTGCCATTTCGCCAGTAAACTCCATAAATGCAGAAGCAAGATCTCTCCAAGCAATATCCTCAGTAGCAACATGCACTTCCAGACGACTGCTCCGAGCTGGAGTATCAAGCATCCATCAGGCATAAGCTTCATAGTCCTCAAGATAGATTAAGAAGAGGACATTTCCCTTCTCCAAGTGGAGCTGTAAAGATGAGGATATCTAGGTTTTTAGGATCAGGGAGAGGTCGTAGTTTTCTGATAGTGTTTCAATATACTGGGAAGAGGTCAAAATGGACCACGTCATTGGAGTTTTTAGATGTGCAGAGATATAGGCCGCAACTTTGGCTTCTCCATCCGGAAAACCACACCAGTATTTAGGGTCAAAGTTTTTCCAACCATACTCAAGACTTGCATAAATAAAATGCGTAACGCCAAATTCTCAACAAATCTCATACAGGCGAATGCCCCAATATCCCAGCCTTCTCTCCTATAGCAAGCCCATTAGTGTTAGCGAAACATACTCAATGTCTTTGAATGCTTCGCGGAGTGTGGGCACTCTGCCATACGGCGTTGCCTATCTCAACTGCTACTCCCTTTTATACAAAGACAGACCTTTTCCCCGTTGGAATAGTCCCGTTCCTCGCACACCATCGTGTCCCCAAGTGCACAGTAATAAACATTCAAGCAACCCTGGACCTCAAAGCAGAGCGTCCCATATGGCGGGATATTCTGGTCAATGTAGCAATTGCACACCCCATTTAGGCACCCAAGGAGCCGGCCCTTGGGGCAGTCACCCTCACAGACGGCATTAGACGTGCATGTGCCTCCGATTGGGACGCCCGGAATTTCGGTAGGCGTTGGAGTGGGGGTGGGGGTGGGGGTGGGGGTGGTTTTGGTGGTGCTGGTCGTGGTGGTGGTGCGAGTGATGGTGCCTTCCCAGTCCTTGTAGTAGGGGCTGTCCGGGTTCTGCACGCTGTCCGGGTTGCGCGGGTCCAGGAAGTCCGGATTCTGCTTGAGCAGGGCGCCGGGGCAGAAGAAGCCTGCGCAGCTGCTGCCGCAGCCGGTGCCTGCGCAAGTTGGCTGGGCCGGGCCGGTGCGGAAGGTCAGGGGCGACGCCTGGGGCGGGAACGCGACGGGGCAGGACCCGCCTCTGCTCTGCCGCTTTGTTTTGGAGCTGCCGCTGCAGTCGCCGGCAACGGATCGGCCGTTCATCTGTCCGTTCCAGACCACCTTGTCGGGATACCTCTCGTTGGGATAGTTGGGGATCGCCGGCCGGCGGTATGCAAGGTCCACAATTCTCTGCTTCACCCTGGCCGCGGTGGTCAAGGTGGGATCGAGACCGCGGAAATACGCTGCCAGACCGGCGACCGCTGCGGAGGCGTACGAGGTCCCGTGGGCAGTGCGGTACAAACTGGGTTCAGAGGTGGCCATCTCCACGCTGATACCAGGCGCGTAGCAGGTAACCCAGGGCGCATTAGAGTAGTCGCTTAATATGCCTGATCCGAGAACCGCCCCGACGACGACGAGCTCTGGGATATAGTTGCGGTTGGCGGGGTCTCCGAAAAGCGCCGGATAGCCATTTGGATTGCCTTCGGAATTTCCGGAGCCTGTGATAACCGCGGCGCCGAGTTTGATGATCTCTCGAATCAGCAAGGCTAGGCAAAGAGGTAAGAATGGTCAGTCAAAGAAGCACGGCGTCCTACTTGAGGAGGGACAAAAAGAGACGTACCCATCTTGTCCACAAACGCCGCCGACACCCGGTTTTGGGGCATCGAGACAGAGATATTGATGACGCTCTTGGCGCCCCTTGCCCCGTTGGAGATGTCGGCGTGCACCTTGGTGAGCCCGTCGAGCCAGTGGTCGAAAATGGACTTTTTAAAGTCCCACACGGTTGCCACCACGGTCGCCTTGCGCGCGATACCAACCGTCTTCCCCACCACTTTGGAGAGACACATGGTTCTGTGCCGCTTGGGGTCGTTTTCCATCCAGCCGCTCACAGGGTACGGCCCCGGGAGCAATGGGAGGTGGAACAACACGTCACTAAATTCTGGGTGCGAAGGCTGGGCGCCATAGTTGAGGTCGTACACATAAGTGCCCTCGCCCGCTGACGAGTCGAACCTGTCACAGTCTGTATTAGTCACAGTCATACACACACATACACATATACACACAGTCACACTAGAGGAGAGGAACACAGCGGGAGAAAATAAGAAAAACCGCACACCTGTAATCTCCCTCGTATGGCACGGGACTCATCCCAGGAGGCCAGGAAAGCAGGGCCATGACGTTGGGCATATTCGACTGGACAATCTCACTGCGCTTAGCAAGAATGGACCGCTCTTGTAATTCACTTTTGGTACTGTTCTGCGTCTCCATAAACCAATCATCATCTCCAGCAGGTGGTCCTCCACCCGAGGTCGGGTCACTAGCCAAGCCCCAATAGGCGGCCGTCAGGGGGCCCCAGGGGATATAGGCGTCCGCGACCTGCGCGTGGCCCCAGATGGCGGCGGTCTGGTCGTCAGTGAAAGCTGGGACAAAGAAGAACATGGTGCCCAGCTGGTCCGTCCTGGACTCAAAGAGATCCAACGCAGAGCCCCCAAGCTGCTGCTGTAGAGTGGTCCTGATGCCATTGACGCTCCCCGGGTCGCGAGGAATAACCACGCGAGGGTTGGTCGTGGCGGTGCCTTGGATGCTGGTCGTCGACGTGATGTCGCTGGCGCCGCACCCCGTCACCTAGGTGCAGAAGGAGATGGTGGATGTCGTCGTGGTGACGGCACGCTCGTTGAGCTTCTGGAACCCTTCAGAGGGGATCCGAGGCGCCACTGTCGGGGCGGCCCCTTCGGCGGCCCGCTTGGCCACAATGCCATATGAGAGGGTCGTGGTGCACACGCTGGCTGTCGCCGTCTCGCAGATGTCCTCCTCCGGGTCTGGCTTGTCCGGATACGTAGGCTTGCGGTCGGGGCCGATGCTAGAGGGAAGATCAAACAAAAGCGTCAGCAACAACTCAGCGGAGCGGCGGTGGAGGTGAGTCCAAGACCATGCATGGCTCGGGGATGTTGCCGGCCGACTTACGTGATTTGGGGCCAGGGGATTTTCAGTGTCAGACCCGGAGGCGGGTTGGGGCCGATGGGCGGCGGGCCTCCCCTATATGAAAGAGTTTATTTTAGCACGGCGGCGGCCGAGAGAAGGAAAGTATTAACTTGTGCCGGGGGGTGGGGGGGGGTTGACATACTCGGGGTAGATGCCCGGATTCCTGAAGCCGGACAAGACGATACCACCAACATTGGGGGGGCATGACCATACGAACCAGGCCCAGCAGGGAACGACAGGAACAGGATCGCCACCATCCACTTAAGTTGCAGTGGGCTCTGGGACCCAGTCCCTGACCCAACTTACAGTTTCCGTGGGGAAAACTGTGGTAGGGAACGGCCCGGTAACAATGGGAACAACGACGATAGGGCCACTAGTAGAGGTTGTCGCGGAAGTTCTGCTTGGATCTGGCATCGCACTAGCGCCACTCCATGGCCATGGAGGTGGACGGATGGTCCGGGGTACGGGCGTCGCTGTGATGTCGGGGATAGTAATCAGCGTGATGACAAAGGGGGGCGGGCTGATACTCGCCGTTGGGATGATGATGGATGGGACGCCACCGTCGACTGTCGTGGTTAGGACCACCTCTGAGAAGCTGATGAGGTCTGTGGTCACCGGCGGGATGGAAATCTCAGTGGTGATGGTGACAGCAGTGTAGCGGGTCGTCCTGGTGCTGTCAACCGTGTCCGTTGCTATCCACCCGAACTCGAGAGATGTTGGCCAGGGGTTGAAGGAGATGGTGGTTGGAGTGGCAAGGGAAGAGGGGGGGAGGACAAGGACATAAGGGGGCGCACACTGGGCCGTCGGCGCGGTCCAGACGGCGGGATCCAGGGTGACGGTGGGATACTTGCTCTGATGCCCGTCGTCGTTAATGGGTCGGCTGCCACAGACATCGGGGCAGTAGCTGTGTTCGCAGGCAAACTTGCAGAGGCCGTAGTCGTTCTTGGATGAGTTGAGGTAGTATCCTGTGACGTTCATCTTGGGCGGTGTCTGAACCAAGATGCCAGTCGAGGTACAGGTGCAAGCGTGGATGGGGCAGAAGCCAAGATGGCATCCAAAGTCGCAGAGGCCCTGGAAGTCGCCGGCGCCGGTGCCCCCTGTGCATGCGGGCGGCAGGAAAGGCGAGTAGCCCAGGACGACGCCATCGTTGGGAGTCTGGCCGCAAACCGAGTCCGGGCAGTAGCCGTGGTTGCAGTCGAAACTACAGAGCCCCGCGAAGGAGCCGCTCTTCCCAGGGAGCGGATAGCCCGCCAGTCCCGTGTCATTGGGGGCATTGGCGACGCCCTTCTTGAGGCAAGTACAGGCGGCGCTGGGGCAGCTAGATAGGGTGGGTAGGGTCACAATGTCAGTGATATTGATTGATACACAAACGGGCCGGGAATGTACTTACTAGCCATTCGCACAGGCGAAGTCGCAGACGCCAATGAAGTCAAACACACCGAAGCCCTTGACGCAATCCAACTTGGAAAGGTCGCCAGTGGTCTTCACGGGGGTGATGGAGGGACCCCTGGCACTCCCCACCCAAGGGTTGTAGTTATTGAGGCCTCCATTGCAGCTGCTGGTGATGGATGCCCCCGCGATGGTGGCAATGGTCGTGCCCCCTCTCTTCACCGTCACCACGACTTGACCGCTTGCCGTCCCAATCGGAACGCTGCCGTGGTATACACCAACGCCCCCGTGGGGTTCCTGGTCCCATCTGCCAGCCTGAGTCACGCCACCGATGCTGACTTGGACCTGGGCGTTGCTCGTGAGAAGCACGTCGTAAAAGACCCTGTCCTCCATCATGACGTTGGGCGAGTACTCGAACTGCAGCTGATTTGCCGTGTTGCCAGTGGTGCCGCCGTCAGAACAGGCCCCATTCTTGTTGACTCGGTACCATGCCACGAGGCGCTCTTCCGTGACGGTGGCAGTTCCGGACTTGTACATGGAGATGTAGTACGGGAGCATCTCGCGCCAGCCGTCGTGGGGCATGTCCTTGACGTAGTTGAAAGGAGCACGACCGATGTCGAAAGCCTCATACTAGCGGTCGTCCAGGGGGCCGATATAGTGCGACTCGCCGTAGTCATTCCACGAAATGATCTCAATGAAGTCAGGCTGGCGGTCAAGAGAGATGGCCTGCTGCCAGCGCTAGAACCACATGTCGTCGCCGCGCCACAGCCAATTCTTCTCGTAGCCGGGCAGGTTGGTGTAGAACCACGGAGAGATAGGCATCATGTACGGCTTCGAGCCCAAAAAGTCGTAGTACGAGGCGTCGGGATAGGTTGTCATGTTGGCCGGCCCCTTCGGCCAGGCGTCCCAGCTGAAGAGACCGTCGGCAATGCCGTCGCCCAGGTGGACGGCAGGCTGAGCACCGACAGATGACCAGTCGGGCATGAAGAAACAGTTAGTCTCCTTCTTGATATCCTTCCAGTCGTCAGCATTATTGGGGCCCTCGAAGGTTGAGACGAATGGCTTCCCGGCCGTCTTGAAGTAGGTGTCTTTGGCGCCGTATTCCTTGATCATGTCGATGACGACAGACTTGTCCCAGGGACCATTGCCGGCGTAGTCGAATGAAAAGAGGAGCTGAAAGCCCATGTCATCGGCCGCGGTGAAGGCCATGGGCAGGGCAATGTTGTTGGTGGGGTCCTTGCTGGCCATGTTCAGCACAAAGGCATCTATGCCTGCAGCTTGTGCGGTCATGATCTCATGTCTCCAGTCGACCAAGCCAAGGGACTTGGTATTACCCACCTGCGCAGCGTCCGGTGTTGTTAGTCAACCCTGGGGCCGGACTGGGAGTGAGATATGACTTACCATGAAGTGAGCAAACACGGCCTTGGCTTCGGCAAGGCTCACGCCCCATGCCAACGCCGAAGCGAGGGCAGCCAGCAACTTCATGGCGATTTGGTCTGACTGAAGGAAGCTGGAAGGATGTGTGAGGACATGAACCAAGCCAGCGGGAACGAACGGCCTCTTATACCTGCAAGCTACCTGACAAACGCCCGAAAGCCCACGGCGCAGGGGTGGGCAGCGGAGCAAGCGAATCCTCTAGACCCAAGGATAAGTCCCCATGGCAGGGGCACCGAGCAGTCTTCTTTGGACCCCTGTCCTAATCTAATGCTCGTGCATCATACGGTTCATTCCACACACGAGTGGCCTCGAGCCATTTTACCGATGAATCTTTCCAACTTTCCATGTTCTATTGTGGTGGGTCTTCCACCCCTAGTTCACGCATGACTTGCCTTCCATCCCATGATCCCACGTTATCGATTCCGGTTGTTTTCCGACTGACCAGACCAGGTACAACCTGATCTGCTTCGCGTCCGGCTCGTATGCCCTAGCCTCATTGCTATGTCGAGATTGGGAACTCGTGGGCACCACGCTCCACACTGTCGGCGGCAAGGACACTTAGAAATTCATCAAACTTCGCTTATCGCTGTGGATGCAACCTGATGCACACTCCGGACGCGTTAGCGACAAGGGCGGCTGGGTCTTCGGACCAGTGCGCGCTAGTGCCTACGAGGCTACTGCAAAAGTCGTCCCTGGTGCAACATTGTACGGCCTGGACGCTGCGCGGTAGTTTCAGGCTCATTAGTTGGAACCCTCTAAACTGCGATGTTCCTGGGAGGCTCAGCGGGCCAATGAGCAGCGGCACTTGACATTAAACAATGCATGATTTAGCTTCAAGATGGTTAGCGCAAGTGAGCCCTGAAATCAAGAACCCCGAGAGGCTCAGCTGATCAGGCACCAGGTGCGGCGGGAGTTTAGCCTACACGAAAGGGCGAATTAGAATCATACCCTTGTGTTGGGGGCGCCTTTACTCCGTAGTCCTGGTCTTCGAGACTTTTTGGATTGAGGCAGGCTAAGCCGGATCCTCCCCTCGGCTCGCTCCCTTGTTAACAGTCATTCAACGCTAAGCTCCCTTAGTGCTAACTAGCGCCACCAAAGACCATACTCAGTCGGGCTCGTGCGGAAGCATCCGCCGGAGCCCTTCGTTGAGCTGCTTCAGGGGATGCCCCGCAAGGCACATGTTAATGATTGCGCTCTGCTTTAATATTACTTTAATTTAATCTACTTTAACCGCTTTAATTGCTTTATATTGGGCTAATAGAGTCTCCTTCCTCTTACGTACAGCCCTAACTTTGGAAGGTTATGGTTACAGGCTGCAGCCAAACCGTTTAATTTATTGGTTGGGCCAGTTATTCTTAAAATATTCTAGAGTTATTTTACTTACCATACAAAATAAAGTAGCTTTAGATTATAAATAATTATAAGCAAGTCTACGTAGAAGCACCAGTCCCCTGGCTTTACATACTAGTACTCAGGCCTATATCTGAACGCCCCGACGGCCAGCCCTGAGCCGCTAGGGACAAGCGATGCTACGCTCCCCGCAAAGCGCCTAATGCCCACAAACCAAAGCGATATTAAAGTGGTGTGATCAAAGTGATATTAAAGTAGAGCAATTAAAGTGGAAGTGGTTGGCGGAACGACCAGCCTGGAGTGCGGGGGGGGTCGTGTGCCGTAAAACGATTGTGTGGTAATAGAGGGATATGTATATTACGCACTCTCTATTAGCTTATAAGCACATGAGTCTTCTATACACACACTAAGCTTCTTATGCACGCTTAAAGTAATTAAACTAGCAAGCAGTCGTTCAAATTGATGTGGCGGAGTCGCCGGTCTGGTCCGCCGTTCCCCTATGACCTCCAAAGCATTGTCTGACTCCTTCATCCATTAACTATCACAGAGCATCTCAGTCATTCAATTCTGATATTTTCCCCCCCGCAGAAACACAGCAAGTCTATTTCTACACAATTCATAGCCAGGAGTGCCTCAGTTCCAGGTATCTTCTAAGCATTACCCATATCCACTCAACTCGCCCACCTCATCCACCTGTCACCCATGTTGTCTCAAGCCAGGATCATCGTCCGTAAGCTCTGTGGTAGTCGCAGTCGTGGCAGCGAGCCCGCGCCATCAGCACTGGCGACAACAGCAGAGACCAGAATTACTGACCCATCCCCTCGCGCCATCCATATGAGTGATGTGAGGCGGTCACCCACTAAGCTACCCCGCAAGCCTGGTGCCGATGCACAGTCCGTGTCAATTATTGTCATGAATGCTAAAGGCGCCACGGACTACTTGAAGTTTTACAGGGTATGTACCTCGTGTAACATTCCTAGCTCTGAGTACCCCTGGGCTGAGCTCACCCCGCGCGGTTTCATTAGCTACTCCAAAGAGAGAAGAAGGATTGCAGCGAGTTTGACCCTACAGACGACTTTGAGACAGATTACTATTGCGATGGTTACATCTACACTATCCGCTTTTTCACGCCTAGCACCCCACAGTCTAGTGTAGCTCTCTCCTGCATTATGCAGCATGTCTGCCTCATCTTCACATATGACGCTTCATCAAGGGAATCGTGGGATGAAGTAGTCACCGCCTGCGAGAGGATGCGCAACCGCTGCAAAGAGGGGGTCCTTCCCTTTCTTGCCACAATGATCGCCGCCATGGATAAAGGTGAAGGTGAAGCCGCCATATCACACGCAGAAGCTGAGGTATTTGCAACCCAGCGGAACTGTTACTTTTTCAAGTTCTCATCTAGAACTGGGCGTGGTACTTGCGATGCAGTTAGCTTACTTGTTGAGCTAGCGCACAGCGCTCGTGATCAATATACTATGGATGAGGCAGGTTATACCCAGAGGTACAACAGGGCTATGGCACTTCAGGCATTATTTTCTAGCTAGGGATGATGCCTAGCTCAAGACGGACATCATTATGTACGGATGGATGTGATATACTGCCGCCAAGGCGGCCAGCAATTACAGCAAATACATTTAGTAGACACTGCTTCACCTGCGCTTAGTTTACTGCTGTAATCCAGCCACCAGTCTTGCATCTCGTCTTAAGGTAAGCCCTTGTCTGCTCACTAGATATTCTGCCATCTCCACCCACTCTTGTTCCAAGAACCCATTACCTAGGGGTTGTTGGATATCAAGCTCATATCTGATAGGTATAACAAGAAGTTGGTGAAAAAAAAAAAAAAAAAAAAAAAAAAAAAAAAAAAAAATGGACAGCGGCCGGCACCTGACAGGGAGCTTGGGGAGCCATAGGAGAAGTGACCACATCAAAAAGCAAAGTCAAATGCAGTGTGGAGCGCAAGTAAATGCTTTGTTTTCTTGTTACACTGGGATAACAGTATGTATATATAAGGCGATAGGGCCGTGCAGAGACGAGATTGCGCCGCGGTGCATCAGTGGTGAGTCCATATATACTCCTCAACTCCTAAGTCTTTCCAGTGAGCTCGGAGTCTATATCAGCCCACCAAAAGGCAACGAACCAGGTATATTCCAGTCAGGTTGCCTCAGGAGCTTTACAGATAACGTCGTACATTTGGCCCTCGCGGCCTGCCTCAGGCACTTTTGGCTCTGGCCAATATACGTGACTCTACGAAGTCACGATCTAAACCAGACACTAGCAATCAGTCAGACGACATCATACTAATTAATTGTCGAAGCACTGTATCTTTGGTATCAGATGGTATATTTTACACTCACTCAGATTACCCTTTTCGGTTAGACTATTCCGACCAGCTCTCAGAGTTTTCTGGTCGTGTCGCTCATTATAGGGGGAAGGACATAGAACAACAGACGACAACCGATAGATGAAAAAACATCGTCCAATTTGACAAGAACATGCTCTGATTCCAAGCGTAATCGTATTACCAGATTACCAAGAATCCGACACTTACTAAGTGGGCGCGCCACTGTTGAGACATGCTAGTAACCATATGCCCCTGGTAATAAATACCACAGAAATCAGATACCGGTATCTTAGGTAGTAACTTTCGTGCTGAGAGCCAGGGTCTGGCTATAACTTACAAAGATGCTAAGGCACTGATATTACCAGACAGTGGTAATCAAGAGAACTGGTCACATGTGGTAGTAATGTTCTGTTTGGAATGGATGTTCTATTGTATTTGGCTTTTCTTCTTTACATACTAGCTGTCTGTAAAATTTACATGTGATGCTTTGACCTTGCTTACGCCCTAACCTTTTCTAGACACTAGGCTTAAGCTGGTCTCATCTTGAAGCTTATTTTTATTACTTCTCCACTAGATCCACCATAACGTAATCGGACACCGAGCGAGACACCTGAACGTGATTTTAACCGAGGCCGAAAACCATGAGATATCTTACTACCACGCAGTCAAATTAAAGCAAAAGTTTTCGAATTACCTAGTTCTACTGGGACAGCTTGTTCTAATATGACCAATGTGATGACAGTTACTGCATCGTGGTGGCGCACGCTTTTTACAAACTGGTTCCACCAAGTCCATAGCCTGTAGAGCTTCTTGAGCAAGTTGCTGACCTTCAGACCCTGTCAAGACACCCCCAGTAGCAATATAAGATCTAGGGGCCGCGCGCTTTCGCTTTTGCCTTTTGTTTGCTGCACGAAGCTTAATTACCTGGTGCCGTAATAGAACAACTTCATGCATGGTAGTTTCAGCTGCTTTCGCTAGCTGACGGATAGCCTTAGTTGGGGGACTTTGGGAGTTGCGATTCACAAGCTGCTTGATAAGCTCCATCTGCTTTTGCACCTTAGTAGAGGTATAAGGGGTCTTTGCAATCCATTCACCCTCTGGAGGTCCATAAGCAGTATTTGGGGGGGTGATATTCTTGATAGTAAGCTTATCCAGCACCCTTTGGGGATTCAAAGGAACTAAACCAGAAGCTTCAAATCCACTGCGGATATTCTTGGATGATAAGGCCTTCCGTGATTCTTTATAAAGATTAAGGAAGTTTTCCTTATCAATGTGATGAATGCCATTCTGGATGCTGCTCATCACCGCGGCACCATATGCCTCTTTTAGTGGTGCAAAGCAGGCAACATCAAGAGGCTGCAGTTTATCAGATGAATGAGAAGGCATATAAAGAGGGACAATTTGATGGTTCTTGCAGAAAAGATCAAACTCCGCAGATTCATGGCTAGCATGGCCATCAAGAATCAGAAGCCGATATCTTCCTAGGGTGCGTGTTGCAGTATGCTTCTCAAAGATCTTTTCTAACCAGAATAAACCAAGCTCATTATTGGTCCATCCATTATCACTTAGACCAATCACCCAATCAGGGTTGATGTCTTGATACCATTGAGATTGATGGACCTTGCCAGAGAAGATGATCATAGGGGGGAGAGACCATCCAGAAGCATTGATAGATTCAATGACAGTCACCCATTCGCGATTCCCTGGCTGTACTGCTCGTACACGGCTTGTTCGGTGACGAGATGCAGTAATAACCTTTGCTGTAGAGGCCACACCCATTTGAAAGCCAGTTTCATCAAAGTTGTAGATATCCTGTTCAAGAATACCATATTTTACTATAGTATTCTGAACAAGATTAAACCATTGGTTGATGACTTCCGGATCTTCGCATTTTGCACGCTGGTAATCATATTTGCGAGTGTATTTGGATATAAGTTCATCATGCCGTTTGATGAATCTAGTGATCCATCTCTCACTGACTGCTTCCCCCTTTCGCTCATGGAGTAGTAAATCTGCCATTTTGCGAACTGCAGCATGTGTTGGTGGTAGTCCTCGCTCATCCATATCCAGAATCCATTTCTTTAGGGAAGCTTCTTCTAGACTGCTAAGCTTCTGGCAGTTTGCTGGTATGTCGGTCCTTGCTTTTCGACCCTTGATTCGATGGGCTAGAGTGGAATGTAGAACATCATATGCTGCTGCTGCTGCTCGTATACTTTTAAACTGGCCATTTTGATATGCTTTGACAGCAAGTAATATGCGATCTTCTAATTTGACTGTTGAATCAGTTTGTTTTAATGCCATATTGGATGGAAACCTGGATCCGATGGTGATTTGGTGGTTGCAGTGTTTCAGGGGTTGAAGGGTGTCTCGCTCGGTGTCCGATTACGTTAGGTGTTCTATAGAGACTATCCTGGCCAATGATGCAGTAGTCTCTTCACTAGGAATATCCTATGTCTATTTCCTCTAATGGAGAAAGAACATCTAAGAATAGAAAAATTTTTCATTGGCAAGGAATTGCAGTACCCGTTATCTGCCAGAAATAAAATATAATATTATTAAGGCTGAGCACATGCTCGATGCTTACGAGGGTGTGGGAGCTTACGAGGGTGTGGGACCCCATTGTTGAGGGTTTGGTGACTTTCCAAGAATCTCTCTGGCCAAAGATGGTAAATGACTCTCACGGACTAATAATCTGGATGGAGGAACATAGAACTATTTCATGGTGTAAAGAACGACCAATAGTCCCTACTCTTGCGCTAAGGCTGGAACTCCAGTTTAAACAACTCCATATTATGCTGCACATTTTTACTTACCAGCTGTTGCATGGTCCTGTGGTACTGGTGTTGAGTAGAAACTATCTTCTCTGTTAGATTACCTACCCTTCAGGAGGAAGTGGAAGGGATAGAACCTGTGATAAGGAGCTTTCCCCTCTGCTTTTCCATCTTGGACGAAAGTACATGGGCCCAGTCCACCTCGCTGCTAGTGATGGTGATTAACTCATGCTCACTAACCTTGTGAGTTATTTGCTGGGAATCATCTCTAAGTGGATCGTAGACAGTAACATTTAGTATCTGTATGTGTAGTTAGTGTCCACTAGATGAACAGGCAGTCCCGCCCTTAGAATACTAACGTAGCCATTGTCTTGTAAAACCAGTTGCTGTAATCATTTGCAGGTGCTTTCCCAGTCCCTAACTTGATCCAGTCTCCAGACCAGGGAGATCCTCTGCGTCTGCACCTCGGCTGCGCGGCGCCTCTGTAGCAGTTCCTTTGCATAGGGAAGCTAAGCAGTGATACTGATTCCACTCATCATCATTAAAATGTGACCATACTCCCCCACGTCTTGCGAAATCCCATATTTTCCGCCAAGGAAGGGACTGTATGGCCCATCGATCAGGGCCCAGTACTCTTGATTCGCCTTCAGGCGGTCTTAAAGCTTCCTAGTGAAGCCCGTCTGTGCTTAAAATATGAGGGAAATAGAAGTAGCGTTTTCATCCTCGCCCTCTTCCCACTAGGTGATGGTGAAAGGATGAGTCTGAAAGAAATAGAACAGACCAACAGATGGAACTGTAAGACAGATCTGCTCTCCAGTACTTACCCTCCACGCCCTCAGCAGAGTAAGTGTGATGTGCATGATGTCCTCTGCATGCGGACTCATTGTCATCCGTACTGATTTCCATCTCATCACAAAATTGCGATATATAATGCGAACCACCTGAAAAAGTGTGGTGGTGGAAAAGGCGGTGAGGCATGTGGCTACGAACCACTGCAGCTTCGTGGAATTCAGTGGGAGGTGTTTCCAAATAGCGTAGAGGCCAACGAGGGCAAAGACAAGATGAGTGTATAGGAATGCCTTGTAGATCCGGCGCTTCACCATCAGTATAAACAATAGGGACAATAGCATGCAACCTCCCTAGGTTGGATCAGCAAACTGGACGGAATGGAAGGGAGTAAACTTCTGGCAAGCTTGACACACCACGAGGCCACTAAAGTGAGTATGGTTGGAAGTATTAAATCTGATACTCTGGCTGGCAATCGCGACATATACAGTAGCCTCAACCACAGACAGCAGACTGGTGATTCAGTGGACAAATCTATATGTCTTAAGCATTACACCCAGCAGTCTTGCTGGATACTCATGAACCCCAGAGAGAAAGAGGGGAAAGAGGAGGCTCAAGGAGATCTGTGCAGCACAATTAGAAGCTTGTGAGAGAGTATCAATTTAGAATAAGTTACAGAAAGTGGTACCAGCCAGAAATAGGATCAAGAAAATAATCTGCAGTGGAGAGAGGGAGTCGATTCCCAGGAGCCTCACTGGAAGCCTAGGGTAGATAAAGTAACTCAGGAGTATGTGATGGATGCTGCGATTGCCCAAGCAAGAAATCATGTTGGTCATGCACGAAGGGACAATACAGACACAGACTAGACAATGAAGAACCAGGCTTGCCAGGGCAGCCCCAAGGGCTAAGAAATAGATGGTTTCCACAGCTCCCATAGTCCCTTACAGGTGACAATACAGGTCTGATGAAGTTCAGTACCAGCAGCAGGACTGGGAAGTAGGGTGTATTTATAGTGATTGCTGTGGACAGCGTGCAAAGGCTATTAGTAGGTATTTAAGATACACCAGGGGTTGGCTCGTTTCAGACGAGATCCATACAGAATATGACCACTATTCCACCAGAGTATGGTCACTGCCATCATCATTGCCGCCATCCATCGCACTGGCACCCGTACCCTGAGGAGCACCATTATCTTCGCCCATCTGTCCTATGTCGGTCCAGACTTCCTCATCGAGTTCTAGGAGGCCTAGTCGCGCCGGGTTTTGCAAACACTCAAGCAAGTGGAGGAAATAAAGTAACAGCTGAATCAGATCCTTGCGTTCGTCCTCCGTCATTCGAGTACGAATTACATGGTACGCATACAGATACTCAAGACAGGGGTAGAGTCCTTCCTGCTTTCCATTTAGCTTAGAAAAAAGGAGATAATGTGATTCTAGACTCACCAGGCGTTGATTGGGCGGCAGCCAGGAGCGTTGTTCGCAGGATTTGAACATACAGACAGTATTCTCGTGTTCCATGAGAATGTAGACCTTGCACGTGTGGAAGAGAGACAAGTTGAAGGCGTCATTGATAAGACAGTCAATCTTCTCCTCTAGGGAAGAAGGTTGGTGACGATTGTAGCCGGCCATTTTCAGATATGTTTGTTCCTTGCAAGGAGATCTCAATAGGGCTCGACGCAGGCCCTTTTATGCAGCCCTGGGTGGCAAGAGGACGTCAAGACCTTGGATGGATATTCTATTACTGGTAGGAACAGTGGTTTATGTTCCACTAGACTTAAATTTCTTTTTCTATACATTATCCAATAACATCTTGATATTTCAATTTCCTACAAGGACCTCGCTAGTATACATCCAGTAGGAGTCATAAAGTACGATCTTTAGGTCCGTGGGCCGGTCTCGGCCCGAACCTGTCCTAGAATACACACTTGTTTGCTTGGAGGCAACCCTGTGGATGAAGGTTTACGCTTACCCTGCCTTTCCCCTAATAGGATCTCGTCTCCTCCGCAATGCTGGTTGCAACTACCCCAAATTTCAACCTAGAATGTGTTCGGGAATGGAGCCCCACTGCCCCAAAAATGCGATGATCCTCGTCAAAAATACGAGCATCGTAGCACCCATCATGAAAGAACCACGATAGCCACTGGGTGATCACTCCTAGCATGGAATCCGGTCCAAAGAGTAATCGGGGCAGCCAGGAGAGTGCAGATCATCTACATTCATAGAAAATCCGGCGGGCGAGACGATCGAACATCTGGGAGCAAATGGCGATGTCCCACTCCATTCCTATCATGCTAAGGGTGATCAATCCACCTAGACCAGGTTAGTTTATGATCATCTACCATAACAAAGAATCAAAAGTGGAGCGCCTCGCCACTTCAGGCGCTAGACAGGTGTAGACAGGTGGTGGTTCGCCCAGAATGGTTTTAAAAGAGACAGGCCAATATACCCGAGCTGGGGCCAACTACTAAGTCCATAAGGTCACACAACTTGCATTCTCGACCCAGTCTCTCCTGAATCAGAATTAGATACTCCAGAGGAATAACCCCACGCACGCCACCACCATCAACCGCCAAGATGGTCGGGTACATAGTCGGAGGCAATACATCGACCACTAGTTCCTCTTGTGAGAGGCACAGCAAGCACATGGATAGAGTAAACTGATATTCCATGTCCGCAGCCAGGTTACCAAATAACTGCGCGTAGGTATCACAAATTGCATGATGGCATCGCTGGCAGTGCTGTGCACACCAGACAAGGCAATAGAGACAGATCCATTGAGACTTGATCTGCCTGAGCTCGTGACACAATGACATAAGCGTTTCCTGTCTGAGATCCAGAGAAGCTTTAGTTAAGGTAGATATGACATGGAACCCCTAGATAAATTCTCGCTCCACTAGACCTATTAGGCCTTTGATTGGCAGGCCAGGGAGCTGGAAGTTTCCGGAAATGCCGGTCTCTTTGTTAAAGGACTTTTGCTCACCACCTGTGGCTACCCTCTTATAGGCCTGGCAACTTTTCATAAGAGGGGCGCGATATAGGGTTCTAAACACAACCCGTGGCTCCAGCACTAGCAAGTAATTGGCAGGAGGGAAGAGTTTTTATTATTGGTTTTCCTTTTTTTCTTTTTTTTCATTCAACGCGATTAGAAGAGAATGGGCAACATACACATCATTCCAGGAACATAATGGTCCATAAGGAGGGCGGATGCTACAACCTGGGCTAGTGTATTGAATGAGCATCCTCCCTGAAGGCCGATTTCCTAGAAATGTGCGAGATGGTGATGCAGTCCAGGCGCCACAGGGAAGGCTAGTCTCATCACCTTAACCAGGTCAAAATGCGATTCCATTGCAAATGCCCTGAGGGCTGCCTGAAATAGTGCCCCCAGATGCTGGGTGGTGAATTGACACTAGTTCATACAATGAAGAGCTTGCATGGAGCTCTGCTGGTCCTTAATGAAAAGACAGAGCCTCTTATACTGGATTGTTTCGGGCAGTTTGCCATCTAAGTGAATAATATTTAGGGAGGAAAAGGACTCATGCAGCTGTCGTCGATCCATTCTGTTCAGTTGTTGGTAAAACTGCGTGATTTTATTAGATACTGTTGTGTCGGGACTGGCCTCCTCCAATACCACAATGACCTTGGGCCGAACCGCTAGGGGAACGCCGGTCGGCGATCCTGTTCTCATGACACCCACCAAATATTGTGCCACTGCGGCTAGATCCTGGAAATTAATGACAAAGATATAGATGAGATCAGCAAACGGAACAACAAGATGAGAATAGACTGTTTGTACAGTGGATAGTGTGGACATAGGACTGCCAGGAACGAGGTGATCACCAGGCAGGACGTGCAGTGGCTGGCCTAAGGTGGGTTCACCAACATCTCCATCAGCAAACAATAACAGCTCATTGGTCTCAGCAGAAAGCGTCTCACAATGCAAACCAATACTAGCACGAGAAGCCGTTCTTCAGATGTTATTGTGGGGGAAGATGGCTTGAAGGGCATTGTCTTTCATTTTACCTCCAAGAAAAATGGAGAGGGCTGGATATTGCTGCTCCGGCTAGGGGAGCTCTGAGATCAACCTGGCCAGGCATCCATGATCCCGCATGAACACACCTTTCTGGCCAGCATGGATCTCCAGCCAGCTACTATTAATCTTCCGGGACATTCTCCAGACTTCTGCTCTGTCTCTCATGGATAAGTCCTTTTTGTTAGGATGTATCCTTCCTCGAGCACAACCATTTAATTTTATAGTCACTCACCATATTATTTGCTTCATCCCTAATAACAGAGCAGGAGTTTCACCCTATCTAGTTTATAATGACTAGTGATTGGTTTTCTTTAGTATTTTTCCTTTGTTCGGTCTGGACCGTGTTCCTCACATTATTGATATGGAATAAGACTAAGTTGTAGTGACTCTGACCATTCAAAGTCCAGCAAGCCTTATCTTATTTTGGATAAACTTAGCGGAACCCTTTGATCATAACCATGACAAATACCTCGCGACTAGGCTTTGACAGTGTCTGTATCGTACTTTTGCTTCATTAAGTGTCTATTATTTATGGCTAACTTATGTAACTGACAGCTGCACCGCATAGATGCAATGTTAATCCCTGCATGCACAATTGAGAGTGCCATGTGTAGGGTCGCAAAATGATGCGTGGACGACCCGTGCTATAAATAGACAGAAACAACATCGATTGCCTCGAAAAATAAAAATTGACTTTCTTTTTCCCACAACATGTTCAGCTGGTTAACTAACTTCCATGATTTATACTAACTCCAGGGTTCTGACAGTGACTCTGTTGCCTTTAATACTAATTTTGCTTCTGATGAGCTGTCCCTTGACCAGCCTAATGTTATCTCGGACAGAGACAACACTACATCCCATGGAGCCCAGGTTAGACCACAGTTGGCTTCCTCCATGCAAAACAGGGGAAATGTGTCATGACTTGAGCCTGTGCAGAGAGAAGAGATAATGGCGTCTATGTAAGCCTAACTACTTACACAAAAGCAGTCCTGCTCTGACAAGATGAGATAGCCCCCTTGATCATGATGTGGGGCGTAGGCAAGAAACTGAGTAAGTGCTTTGCGGCCAGCCATTGTTGAGCATATGCTGAATGGATTCCTTAATGAGGCCTTGTTGAAGACAACATTTGGCACCATGGCCATGGAGATGATATGTCAAAAACTTCCTTAGATATGCTCTGACCTCCAGAGGCAGGAAGAATTAATCAGGAGTCTTCTGTTGTCTGATTGGCATTATGGGGAGTTGATTCGATCCCTTCAGATGGCCTTTGACGCGGCTCTGCTCACTAGTCCTTGCAGTTCCTCATGCGACTGCGAGAGAATGATGATTATTAGGCTGCCAAGCGGAGATGGGGATGGATATTTTCCCCTGCTACCACCACTGAGCGGCATAGAAGCAGTCTCTTGGTCCCAAGGGGTCGGGCAGGGAAGAAACCTGGAATGAAGAGTGACTAGGAGAGCTTGTAAGGTGTAGCCGTTGAAACAGAGAATAAGAATAGTAATAGTGCTATGAATATGGTCTATTGTGGCATAGCTTCTATAATATTGAGGCCTGAGATATACATTCTATGTATCCGTCATCGTTTCCTGTGTACCATCGATGAAGACTTTGATAATTGGGTTTAATATTAACATGCAAATTCTAATTATCAGCTAAGGTCTCTGGACAAAGGTCACCCTAAACTCACTCTCTGGATTTCACAGGACATCCCATGAAGTGATGAACATAGGGATGTTGTCAGGGCGCCAATTATAGTATTGGATTGTAATCTTGACCTTGGTCCCTTCATTTCACTTAGGCGGGAAGAACTTAAGACGCAACTTCTGACAGATATTCTTGATTTGATTTCCGGCACTGGCAACAGGCTTCTCTAGGGAGTGAGGCATATTCCTGTGTTTTTAACATAGCTTTAAGCTAAGTCTTAATCCCACAATGAATGTTTTAAAGTCTCATAAACTAGATACAAAAGTCCTGCAATACGCCCTCCAAGGTCCTTGGGCTCTGCCTTTGGAAAGCTCCAAACAGAGCACCTGATGCAAGAGAACAAGATAGCGTACTATATCGAGCAAATGCTGGAGAGATTTCCGCTTATGCGCAGCAAGGGATACTCTCACCCTGGCCATTCGGCTGATCGCTTGTTTCAACCCAGCTATCTGCATGCTACTGGCAAATCCTGCGCCAAATGTGATTCCTCAGCGGAGATTAGCCGCGAACCACGACTAGACGATAGCCCTGTGATCCATTATGGAACCATCGCATCCGGTAATACGGTCGTCAAAGACGCACTTACACGAGACTCGATTCGAGACAGACATGGTGCGATATGCCTAGAGATGGAGGCAGCAGGGTTAATGAATAATTTCCCTTGTATCGTCATCCGTGGCATCTCAGATTACGCCGATTCCCATAAGAATGACCGCTGGCAGCCATTTGCCGCTGCTACAGCCGCTGCTTGCGCAAAGGAGTTTCTGGAACATGTACAGCCCAAGGCTATTGAGGCCGAGCCTGCAGCTAAAGATATCCTGTATCAAGGTAAAGCATGAATTGCACGGATGAGTCCTTATATCTGACCTGTAAGATGACGATAAATCTAGTCCATGACGATGTGGCCGAAATCAGAGAACTTGTCATGACCGAACATTCTCGACGTATTCTCGATTGGATCACCGAGTTAGACTTTGACCGTCAGCATAACGACAACTTAAAATCAAGGCTTGAAGGGACAGGTCTCTGGCTCCTACAGTCGGAGGAATTCAAACAGTGGATCAGCCGACCTCAACAAACACTGTTCTGCCCCGGAATCCCAGGAGCTGGAAAGACGATCCTGTCCTCAATTGTAGTGGAACACCTAAGAACAAAGTTTCTGGATGATCCAAAGTACGCATTGCGTGCTTGTTTTGCAGTTATCAACCAAGCTTCCAACAAGCTACACTAGATTTCTTACTGAGTCTTCTCAGACAACTTGCGATCAAAGGCTCAACCGTCCTCCCGAAACAGATGTACAAAAGCCACACAGGCAATAAAACACGCCCGAGTGTCAAGGATATTCTGCCCGAGCTATCACGAACCGCGCGGTCATTTCGGAGAATTTTCATTGTGATCGATGCCTTGGATGAATACTGTTCTTCAAACCCAAACGAGCTGCAGGACTTACTCTCGGCCTTATTCACCTTTCAGAAAGACGGGCCGGTAAATATCTTCGCAACCTCTCGTCCTAACTCGGAGATTATGTCACAGTTCGAGGGATGCATCCAAAGGGAAATCCGCGCGCAAGACGACGATATCTTAAGATATGTAAACACAACGCTACCTACCTTACTCCGGTCAAAGATCTCGCGGTATCCCAGTGTTCAAGACGAGGTTCGTCGTGAGGTGGTGAAGAGCGCAGATGGAATGTAAGCTACTAAAGCCCTGCCCCATAGATTATTTATCTGACCGCAACCGAACTTTGATCAAGGTTCTTACTCGCCACATTACACATGGACCATTTGAAGGGGTATCTTACTGTGGGTGACCTCCAAGAAGCTCTCGGTCACTTGCCCCGTGGGAGGGCCGGACTGGGGAAAGCCATGATCACGCAATTGACAGAATTAAATCCCAATCTGAACCGTGTTATCAAATGGCAGTCAAAGTTCTGTATTGGTTGACGTACTGCAAGCGAGCGCTCTTTGCCAAAGAGCTTCAACATGCGCTTGGGACTCGGTCTGGCAAGAGCGATTTGGACCGGAACCTCTTGCCGGATATTGACATTATTGATTCAGTGTGCGCGGGCTTGGTTGTTCTCGATCAAAACACCGGACTAATTCGCTTGGTTCACTACACAACGAAGGAGTATCTCTTGGGGCATCCTGCTTTATGCAATTCAGAAGCAGACATTGCCCAGACATCCATCACATATCTTTCCTTCGCGTCTTTCTCCAGCGGATGCTCTACAAGCCGTATTGATTATAAGCGCCGGCAACAGCTCTATCCTCTTCATCATTACTGTGCAAAGTATTGGGCAGTACATGCCTCAGCGGCTCTAGGTACATCGAAAGAATTAATGACGCATATCGTTACATTTTTGGAGAAAGGATCAAATTTGCATGCGGCTGGGCAAGTTATGCTGGTCCGTTCTGTCCTAGGTAATGGACTGGATTTGGCTGGCGATTGGCTACAGTTTATTCCGCATCCATTGACAAAGGTACATATCGCAGCTAGTGGCGGTTTAACAAGCATCATTACCGAGTATATACGTCGAAATGAGGAGGTGGACATTCGAGACCCCGATGGCAGAAAGCCGCTTGCCTATGCTGCTAAAGCCGGCCATCTTGACATTACCAGAGTTCTTCTCGAATCAAAGCGTGTCGATCCTGACTCGAAGGATAAGGACGGCCGGACACCTCTATTACTTGCAGCTTCTGGGGAATATAAAGAGGTAGTCCACGTTCTCATCCAATACGGGGCATGCCCAAATCATAAGGATAGATTTGGTTACAATGCATTAGGTGCTGCTGCTGCGTCTGGGGATATTGAGACAATGCGGCTTCTACTTGATCACGGCGCTCAAATCAATCAGCGGTATCCATATTATCATGAATATGACGGTACTCCTCTAATGAACGCCTGGCGTTCGGGAAATACGGATGCTGTTATATTTCTCCTGGAAAGGGGAGCAGATCTCGACTTCCATAATGGTGGCGGGGTCACGATTCTATCAGAAGTATCACGCAATAATGATGAAGAGGTAGTAAAGCTACTTCTTGAAATGGGAGTCCAGGTTGACCCCAAAGACCATTTTGGCGCCACACCCCTTGCATACGCTGTAGAAAAGGGGTTTCTTGGAATAACAGAGAAGCTTATCAAGGCTGGTGCTGATGTCAACATGCAAAATCATCACGGACAGAGCGTGCTTATGGTGGCATGCGAGTCGGCAGAAAGCAATGAGGAAATCATCCATGAGTTACTTCACCATGGCGCCAATCCAAACATGCAGGACAGTTCTTTGGAGACCCCTCTCTCAATATCCACTAAACATGGATCTCTGGGTGTGGTGAAACTCTTATTTGATAAGGGAGCCGACCCAAATATCCGAGGTAAGCGTGGGGAGACAGCATTATTCGGGGCAGCAGAAGAGGGGCATGGAGACCTAATCAACACTCTTCTGCACAGTAAAGCAGATCCGCATATCTGCAACGAGGCCTTTCAGACTGCATTGTTTTGTGCTGTGAGAAAAGGACATGTCTCTGTTGTCAATCTTCTACTTGATGCGGGATCGGATGTCCACGCTCAAGATATTGCTGGGAACACTCCGCTTTTCTATGCTGCGTCAAGTGGGAGTGAAGAGGTCGTAAGATTGCTGCTGGAGAAGGGCGCACAAATTGATCATCGAAATGCATTGCAGGAGACAGCGCTTTTCTTCGCAGCCCGATATGGGCGGACAGCAGTTGCCAACCTTTTAATAGAGGCCGGTGCCACCCCAGATCCGAGAAACCTCATCATGGAGTCACCTTTGATATACGTAGCCGGCTGCCTTCTCCATATCCCTTCCTGCCCCAGCAAAAGAACACTGGATTACAGTTCTGTGGTGACCCTTCTCCTCGAAACGGAGCTGATCCCAATCCTCGATACAACCCAACTTTCCAATCAAAGTCACAATTTGAGTCGTGGGAGGTTCTATGGTCTTCTCCAATTCATCGTCTTCGCATGCCACCTCGTTTGCAGAATGCCTGTTGCGAGGCTGCGCGCCACATATGGAAGTCTCGTGTTCAGGAATATGATGATGAGCAAATCCTTATCTTTCTGGAGCGTCTGATATACCAAGGCAGCACACATTTCCAAAATTTATGGAGAAAAGGGAAAGCAACCCCGTTCCTTTGGGCTGTAAGGGGACGCCACATTGACCTAGTTACGAGGCTTCTCAGGGCTGGAGTGAGCATAGAGATCCAAGACAAGAGTCGCACAGATATTTTCATAGAAGCTGTTGAATCCGGAAACACACTTGTCGCCGAGCTGTTGCTCGACGACTTAGTCGATCCATCAACTGCGACTTCACAAGTATCGTCCATGGTTTTGCATTGGGATGCAAAAATGAAAGCCACTGCAAGAAATGAACCTCACACGGCAAAGCTTCTATCACAAGACCATGGGGACAATCTCGCCTGTGATTCTTCCGAAGATGGTGATGAATCTGACATCTGCAAAGAGTGCAGAATTAGTGGCACAGCATGCTCGGATGAAACAAACCGGTTGGTTAAGCGACAGAAAATATGAAGTCGGCATCGCCAAGGAATTGCACTTACTCTATTCGGTGCTGAAGAATCTAATTATGTCTGAGTTGGTCATGGAAAGGCAATATGTACCTGTCTTTTACAGTTAGTTACGATGTACGATCTCGAGGAGAATTGGGATACTCTACTTGCATTGTTCGTACCTATCCACTGAAGCAACACTTCATCTATTATTATACTAAAGCGTCCGCAATAAACTCTGTACAATGATTCCTGACAACCTCCCCATGACCTCCCTAAGCAATCGGGCCAAAAAAGCTAAACTTGCCTGCGGGGTCATACTTCTTCTTCAAAGCCCGCAGACGGTCCTGGCGCCACTGCTCACTGCCGTACCACTGCCGCGGCGTCTCATCGCCATAGGCATAGTTGACATACGCGCCAATCTCCTTGAGCCCACTAGCCTGGAAAAGGACCTGACGAAGCTGATTTCCCAGCTGCGCAGCGTCATTGTCGCGCTCCGGGCCGGCAGGCGCGTAGGTGATCAGCGGCGCGGCAAGGAGGTTCTCATTTCGGAAGGCAAAGGCACTGGACTTGCTGTTGACAGCCCGGACACCTTGCATGGAGTAGCCCTCGAACATGAAGATGGAGTTGTTGAACGCCGAGGACCCGCGGGTGGCGGCGGCGAAGATGTCGTATGCCTTCTTCTGGGCGGGGACGTTGTACCCTTCGAGATAGATGGGGAAGCGAGGGTTGACCAGCCCGGCCTTTTGGCATGGGGGCGAGGTCGTGGCGATGCCGGTCCATCCGGCGAGGTCAGTGTAGCTTCCTCCGATGGATTCAGCGGATAGCGGGCCGATGTCGTGGAAGGGCTTAGTGTAGGCTGGGTCGACTGTCTTGACGCCTTCCTGGATGATGTAGAATAGGATGACGGGCTAGGGCTGTCAGAAACAAGCGACAACTCGTGGATAGGGTCTATAATACTTACATTGTTCGGGTCAGCGGTGGGGATGTTGAGCCAGTATGACCAGTTGATGAGATCCACGGGCTGAGTGCCGTTCTTAAGGAGGTGCTCGTTGGCGGCCTGGTAGACGGCCTCAACTTTATCACCGCTGAAGATGAGCGTGTCGATTGCCCAGTCGGCGTGCTGGATATCGTAGATCTTGGTGGTCACAGAGGTCACAATGCCAAAGTTGTGACCTGCTCCGTTCAGAGCCCACCAGAGGTCGGACCGTGCGTCAACCGTCTTCAAGCTGCCGTTGGCCAGGACGATATTGGCTGAGACGAACTGATCTGCGACCAGCCCATGGTGTCCCTGAAGCCATCCATGTCCACCTCCAAGGGCAGGTCCCAGGTAGCTGACGCATTCGCATGTACCTGTCACAGTTTGCTTTCCCGCCGACCAAAGCTGGTCGGTGACGGTTTTGGAGATGGTACCTCCCCCGATCTTGGCGGTTTTCCCATCCTTGGAGATTTCCACGCTGCTCAACTGGTTGAGGTAGATCTCGATGCCATGGTCCATCTTGCCAAGGGTGGTAATGGCTCCATGCACGCCATTGTACGCCAGGAAGGGCAAGTTTTTTTTGTTGGCGTATTTCACCTATCACCAGTTAGCGATCCATACCCATTATCAATGGAGAAAAATGAGAGAGAATAGTAGAGGCAAGGACAACACACCGTCTCAACAACATCGTTCTCCGTCCCCGGAACCACGACAACATTCACTTTGGGGGCATCCAGAACAGACCACCGTGTGGACGCCTGCTCGAACTCAGTCGACCCTGGGAAATAGATCTTGCCAGTACTCGACAGCTTCTCTCCCAGCTCCTTCAAGTCAGCATCTCCGCGTGGACAGATGCCTCCGAGATCACAGGCGACGGGCACTGATAAGCAGGATGCGGGTACAGCCGAGGCAGCGAGGGCTGCAACAGCCTCAATTCTAAGCCAACGCATTGGACGGGCAGCAAGAAGAAAGTTTGACTCGAAACAGAGGGAGGAAAAATGAGAAGGATTTCAGATAAAGAGAAATGCACGATTGATTGGTCTCGACCGAGCGCCTAGGGTTACATTAAGTACAGGGGCATGTCGCATTTTAACCCCTCGTTCGGGATAGAGTACATCCTTGGCTATTGCAGGTGGCATGAGGGTGCAGGTACCAATTAATCAGAGTTCATTTAATGGGCGCAAGGGATTGGTGAATCCATCCTAAACCCTGTCGCATCCCTGCTAGGCTGCTTCTAGGCGCTGGAGAACCTAACGAGATCGGGTATCGTCATAGACCGAATCCTGGACACTGATCCGCATAGCTCCGACGCCCTGCCAGCATTAGATGAACTCGGCAATGACCACGACCGGCATACGAAGGGGCCAAAAATATACTTTTTCTAATTTTCTGGTCTTCTTGTTCGATAATATTCTTTCGCTTATTTTTATTCTTGTCGTACATAGGAAAGCTAAGTCCGATGTTGTTACTCTACGTTCTCGTCAACCCGCCAGTTGGCCATGCTGGGCCGGACGCTTCGTTTCTCTAAATGTCGACCGATTCTGCCGCAGACGAAGCTGCTCAGGCAGCCTTGTACAAGTCCACGGTTGAGCACTGGACGCTGTATGCAATTGGGGTTACGGTGACCCTACTCCGGACGTACGCCCGGGTGAGAGCCGTGGGATTCAGACACTTACAAGCCGAAGACTTGCTTGTGTGGGTTGGAATTGTTCGTGATACGCTCTTCGATATATGTCAATCATTTGCTAATGCCTATTCTGAGCAGGTATTCTACACGGCACAGACAGCGCTTGCGTACAGCGTGGGCCATGTCGCACATGGCCTCGCGAATAATGGCTTGACCGACGCTCAACGGGCTGCACTGTCCCCTGATGATCCAGAATACCGAGCGGCGTATGTCTAGTCTCGAAGAGTACAGAGGATGCGACCGAGCTCACACGTATACAGGGTAATTGGCTCGAAAATTCAAGTCGCTGGGTGGACTACATATTCGGTGTTGATGTGGTCGCTCAAGTTGTCCATGCTGGCATTCTACCTTCGACTTACAGTAAGTCTTCCAGGACTTTTTTTTAATTGCAATTGGTACTCATGCGCTCGACAGGATGGTCTTGGTCAGCGGTATCGCAATCCCATCTATGTTGGGTTCGGTCTTGTCATCGGAACATTCCTCGTCAGCGTGATCACCATCTTCGCGGCTTGCCGGCCATTCCACAAGTACTGGCAGATCAACCCAGATCCTGGGAGTAAGTTCACTTTGATTGCGACCTCATTCGATCAATTGTTCGCTGACAACTCCTCTCCTAGATGCCTGCCAGGCCGCCATATCCAGACCGATCATCTGGGCCTCCTTTGCATCCAACGTGTCCACCGATATCTACCTCATCTTAATCCCCATCCCCATGCTCTGGAGATCCCGCCTAAAACTCATGAAAAAGATCGCCGCGACCGTTGTCTTCGGCGCTGGACTGTTCGTGCTCGTGTGCGCTATCCTAAAGAGCGTGTTTGTCTTGGTGGTAAGTCGTGATGTCACATTTGCCACCCCCAGCCGAAAGCTAACACGCATACCCGCAGGACCCCGTAGATGGCGCACAGCTGGCCGGCGAATGGGGAAACAGGGAGGCCTTTGTCGCAGTGGTTACTACCAATCTTCCCATGATCTTCCATCTCTTTCGATCCTGGCTCTCGCGACTCTTTGGCACCGCGTTCGGCAGCTCCCAGAAGACATACAAATTTCCCAGCGGGTTTCAGACTATCGGTGGCGGTGCTGGTGAGTCCTTTAGCCGGAATCGTCGGGGTCCGCCCACGGTTCATCCTATCAGCGCCAACTTGACCTTCAGCGAGAGTGAGGAGCGGATAGTTGACGATGTGAAGATGAATAACTTGGAGGCGCTTGGTACACCCGGCACTGGTCGTGACCATCCTCCCGGTGGCATTGTAGTGTCTAATCAAATTGAGATCACCCATGAGAATAGAAACAGCCATCTTGGTGGGAGTGATCAGCCTCGTGGGGGGAATTGGTGATCAAATATAGAAGTGAGATTAATAGACCAACAGTCATGAAACGATATATTCTACAACCATGCAATTTTATTCAACGTAGTCTCAATCTCGAATTGACAGTTGTAACTGGCAGTGGAAGACCCAGAGATCGTATTAGGCTTATCGTCAGAATCTGAGCGACAGTGTCCTTCGACCTCCGAAGGTCCGCATCGGGATGAGGACGTTTCCCAAGGGGCACACCAGAAGAGAATGTCAGGAGCTGCCAAGACGTGAAGTGCAATAATATTGAATCTCAAATAGCCGTATCTAACACGCTGCACGTAACTAATGATAGACAGATGCGCGCTTCTAGTGACAACGGGTCGCAAGACAACAATTTGGATGCAATACATAACCGATCAATTCTGTACTCCCAACTCCCATGCATCTGACAATTGCGCAGTGGACGTCAGGTAGGAAGCATCTGGGATATCAATCGTTGCCTTCGCTGATCCATTTAGTGTTAATGGCCGGCCTACAGCCTGACACTTGGGGACACCTGGAACGATGAAGAAAGGAACTGGATTCGCCGACTTTCCTATCCCGATACGGACATCTTCTCATTTGCTTCTCTGTTATCAACCGACAAATTCTTCTCCAGCGTGGAATACTATTGGTGCGATGAACTACGGAGTTGCTGTTCTGGGGTGCCATGGCTGCTAGTTGTGACCCCAGATCGACACAAGGAACAGCAATACTGGCCTACATATCAACAAAGACTGTATAGGACCTGTACCAGGTCGAGAGAATGAGGGAATGGCTAGAAAACCGGACGCTGCTAGATATACTGAGTGCTCTGCTCGGAATCAATTCAATGTTGGAGGAGGTCTTTCAAGAGGTGGCGGATCTTGAACTTGTGACTCTTTCAAAAGTACCGAAGACATTCATGAACTGATGACATTTTCCTGAGATCAGGCAATCTGTGTTTCACAAGTGCCAATGACTACTGCAAAGGAAAAGAGCACATGCGTGATAGTCTAAAGGTTTATACTCATACAATGGAAAAGCCGGATGATCGAAGTCATAGCAGTTCCATTTGTTTAACGATTTAACAATTACTTTACCACCCATCCCGGGCAATCTTCATGCCTCAAAGCCAACACAGGTGTAAGTATAGATATCAACCGTGCTGGCATTGTTTACTCTTCCACCAGTCACCAAAGGAGCATCACCTGAGACACATAGAGCCCGCCGGCGACTTCAACACCTCAGCAGCAATACATTCTTCGCGACAGATTAGATATTGTCGTTTCCATCCGAGATACATATATCAAACGGCAGGCCGACACCACAGTAAGCATCCTCGTTAAAGCTGCTGACCAAGCCCAACTTCAACCACCCATTCCAGGTGCCGCCATGATCCAGACGCAAGCACTGGGTGCCGCAGATTTTCCCATGCGCCGCGTTGCGGATGTACTCGGCGATAGCACCTTGAATAGTAGATTCCTGCACCGTCGCATCACACTGCTGGCCAGTAGCATAGAACGACCAGTTGACATTATCGAAAGTACCAGTCAAATGTCGACAACTCTGTTGGTCCGAAAGGCCCCTGATCAGGGTTGGAAGTCCCAGGAAATAGCCGAGAATATCCAAAATGCCCAGACATAATAGCACGAAGAGTAGTACGACGAGTATGCCGTGACACACATTGATAAGGGTGCGCTTGTCAGGAGCTCGCCTTTGATGCCAGTCTAGGGCAAGCATGACGCAGACGTCGACATTGGTACGAAGCAGGTTACTCGGAGCACAGTCTTCTTGAAAAACGTAGTACTGGATGGCTGTGAGAGCGATAGCACTGTGTAGGAGAATCGGGAAAAAATATCGGTCGCACAAGATATGGAAGGCGTGGGAGCCAGGCATCGGGAGAGACGATTTCGATGCTGTTGATGCCATGAATGCTGCCTGGGCTTCGTTTGATGATGCGAGGAGCTCTAAGTTGTGATGAATCAGTCCTTAGTGAACTAGTAACTCGTCGGAATTGCAGTGGATCAGAGTCGACTGCTGCGAGGAAATAAGAGAGTATTGGAGAAGTCTCTGTTAGAGAGTTTGCAAGTACCAAGTCTGATTAAGAGTGCGATATACAATGGTTCAAAACAGACTGGAGGTAGCTATAGTGCAGTTTCCCAGTTGAGAAGTCTCGCCTGCTTGGACAGCATCTTGCACTGATTCATCTGCAGTTTGGCGGTATGTGATAGTAGTAGTTGCCTTTACTGCTTCTCTTTCCCAATGTAGCCCGCAGCACAAGCCAGCTAGGACCAATGATCATGGTGTGGCAGGTTGGCTCCAGGCTGCTCATGATTGAGTGCATGAGAATTCACAGGGCATCCCCAAGAGATACTACGCCCGTCACTTGGCGTGCCTTGGGAGCCTATGTAACTTCAGCTTCCAGGATATAGGAGCTGGATTCCTCTTGGATCGGTGAACCAGAGTGTCTATGTGTCAATCCCGGCCAATAACCAAATGGTTGCCTCGGGGTCTCACGGATTGTAGACTGTTCAAGACGGAAGCGCATCAAACACAATTGTAGACGAGCTTGATGAGTTGCAGCCGAGGATTCATTCGTAACCACGCATCTGATCAAAGGCTCATGTTTCAGCCAGCCCCATCTGTCGAAATGCCATCTGTTGTGGAGCAACACTTGACCTTCTATAGGTATACTTCATTCAGAAATCAGGTCTGTCTACCAATCAGTCTTTATGAATATCTAGTTCGCAGTCTTTATAGAACCAGCAGTGAAGAAAGTTCTTGCCGCATCCGATGGCCCCGTTGTCTCAAGCAGTGATTCCTCCACCGTCTGTTCTATCTCATGCTGTGACACTTCCTTCCTCCTTTCGGTTCTTGGCCATGCACCCCTTTATTGCCGGACGTGGTACCCTTGCGAGAAGCCTCTCATTATGTCTGAGTATGTTACTGAGAACTACTCGTCTCAGAAACTGCAATCCAGCCCTCCGTAAATTGAATAGAATGCTTGATGTTTGGGTAATTGGCACTCGCTGCCGCCGGGACGACGTAGTGGTTGGCACAATGATTGGAAAGGGGGTGGAGTGCCGACGAGGACGCCCAACAGTCAGCCGGATCCTCATAGGATGAAAAGGGGATACGCTATGTAGCATGAGGTAAAGAGATTTGATTATAGAAACAGATGAAGTGGACAGCATGGTTCTATGAGACGGACAACTGGAATACACAACATTCAGAGGTTCTAATCTATACACGGTAACTCTCCTCGTCAATCTTTGCAAGTGTCGACTCAGCCAGCTTCCCATCCTTCAATCCGTAGAGATTCTGAAACGACATGATCATCGGTTTCCATTTATCGGGATCGATTCTGTTCGCATATCCAGCAAGTCGCAGTTCGTCCATAACATAGGTCCTTACGATCTTAACCTCAATGGCCATGACGCACCCCTGCAACTCGACCGGTCCGTCTTGGAAAAGCTCATGGATATCAACGACCTCAGCTTCCATTTGAACGGGACACTCCTGGATCCGCGGAGGCTGTACAAGATGCGAAGATTCTGGTGTCAATCCCGCGATGCCGAACTTGTCTTTCTCGTATCGATAGCCTCGCTGGGCCTTGCTTGCCGGCACGTCTTTGGTGCCAGTTATTCGCGCCAGAGCATTAACACATTGGACCATATCATCGCCCGGAAGATTGAGCACGCACTGTCGCGTGCGGATGATGTTGGCGATTGTCTGTGAACTCCGTCCCAGCCCTAGGACGGCACGATTTCCCAACCACCAGGCGGATGATATAGGCGCGATGTTCGGCGTTCCGTCTTCGTTGACCGTGGTCACAAGAACGACCGGGGTGCCCCAGTAGAAGATGGCAGGCGAGATGACCGAATGTCCCATAATGTTGTGCAGGCAGTCAAACGAGCAATTGAATGGCTGTTGGAGGAATTGAACAAGAATGGTGAGCATCGATTTTTATCCCGATGCTCTTGTTTTGAGGTTATATACACAAGTAAAAACTGGCTCAAACTGAGCAATTTGATTGGTCATATCAATGTCAGAGTCTTGTTATTTCCCTTTGGTGTTGACGGTGCCGATTGTGGATTCTCGTATCATTCATCACTGGCCAATTTGACAGCAAGCCATCCATATTTCCCCAGAACCGGGATAGAGGATAATGATATATCAGCTTAGTACTGACACTCCATTGCCTTAATCTAACGATTTAGAAACAAGGCACATTCACACCCGGACATACCGAGAATAGTGATATTGCCACTCTCCACGCGGACCTTGAAGCTCGAGTGGATAGCCATCAAAGAAGCCTTTGGGGCCGAGCAACATCACTTTTCTCATCCATAGGCATACCCACATCAAGAACTCTGAATCACTTCGACGGTTCACCCCTGTCCATCACCATCATCATCCCAAGCTCCTTCGGTGCCGATTCCACAAACCCATTCTTCGCATACAGCTTTCTCCCGGGTGGATCAGCAAGCAGATTCACATACGGCTTCCCCTCTGGTGCTTCACTGCGAATCTTCGCCAGAAGCGTCTTGAGAATGATATCTCCCAATCCTTTCCGCTGATGATCAGGCAGGACGGCCATGTCGGCGATATGGAAATACCAACCCCCATCGCCGATAATGCGGCCCATCCCCACGGGAGTCGATGTTCCTGATGATTCGTCTTCGAATGTCACGTAGCAGCCGTACCAGCTGCCCTGGGCCACGGCAGTTGCCTGTGCCTTGGTCTTGGGGGTGAGACCTGAAGCGGCGCGGAGGTGGAGATAATCTGACACTGCGGGGTAGCCATCATGAAGACGGTAGTTGGGAGGGAGTGGTGAAATGGAGGAAGACATATTTAAATTTGATTCCTATATCAGAATGGATTGGTCTGAATCATATACTCTGTATTGTTCATGAGTGTTGCTTGAATATTAATACTGCGACGGCAGCAGGCAACAGTAGGCAACGATGCCGCCAATCAGTGCCAAGACAGTCTCATTATGGACCGTTAACATCAACACCTGGAATACCTCAAGTGCGTCAGATACATGAAGAATTACATTATCCGTTGTATACAGACATGGTTACCAGTATAGGCATTTAATTTATCATGTCAGCGTTCTCTCCAGGGGTTGTGGATGCAAAAACTTTCAGGATGCCTAGATAGCGTCCTGGACAATGCATCAAAATATATTTCTCGCCATTGGCTTCACATAGCAGAACACTGCTCAACATAGGCACGATTTTGCTTCTGGAATAAGTTGCAATGTCTTCGTTCTTGATTTCTTTTGTTTTTACAGCACCTAGCATAATCTAATACTATACTGACATCCAATGCAACTGGCCTGATGAAGTGAGCTTCGAGATGGCGTCAAAGCATAGTCAAACACGCAGATATCAGTTTCTAGAAGACTTTTTCTGCAGTTCCATGACAGGCTTGGCCATGCTTGGTAGTCCTCAATCCGTCAACTCCCTGCGTGTGTCTCAACTTGCATACTCGGAGGGTCCTTCAGTTCACCAGTATCACCAGTGTGGCTGGGGAATAATAATGCTCCTCTAGTTGCTTGTTGAGCTATTTTGGTACCATTTCTAAGCAAATACGCTGCCGAGTCTACTGCGAAGAGATGAGTACGGACTACCACTGAAAGGCGGCATAAGCCGACGGAACCAGCACAGAAAATGGTTAAAATCCACCATTTGCAGTTGCCACCCGGTTGGCCCGAAGAACTGTGGATGTACCTGGGAGTTCAGGTTCGGAGAGCACCGAACAGCACATCAGATCCGGGGACCCATTAATAGTACTGAGCCACTTGATGTGCGGCGTGCCTTGGGTCTGAAGGGCTTCGATTCTGGGAAACCAGAAGATCTACTCCATAAATAGTTAGACCACGTTATGTCCGTTGTGCCCTATGCGAGACCATTACATTGATTTCTGTATATCCACCCGACTGCTAAGAGGTATCTCAACGTAAGAATCATAAACCATTAGTCACTACGGAATAATAGGCTTCAATAGCCCAGTGACTGAGTTAACTACGACACAATCATAGGCCAACAGATTTTTACTCTGCATACGCATGACAAGACTGCTTCCTGTTAAGTTAGGACTACTTATGATTATGGACAAGAAACGATACAGAGTACAGCGTAAGTATTCTGAAAGAGTTGGTATGGTACAATACCGCGTATGGTCGAAGAAATCTCTGCAACAAGAAAGTCTGGGTCGGGCAATAGCGGACACTTGGCAGCTCAAAAACCGAGCAGGAGACAGAACCTGATTGGTATTGTCTCACTGGTCAAAGGATCTTTTAATGGTCTCCGGAAAAACCAACCAAAATGATTATTGCTTTATTCTTGCCCTGTATTATTGTTGCAAATCCCACAGATCCTGGAGCCCTAGTGCAGTACACCAATCCGGTAATCCGCCTGGGACTTAACCAGAGGCAAATCCTTCAATCAGGATCCAGGTGGACACAAACAGGGCGCAGGATACTGTGGAGCATCGATTACTTTCCCTTGTTGATAGTAAGGTAGTCACCCTAAGACATGTTTTGTTGTCACTGCACTTGATTGGAGAGGTCAAGGCGCAGTGGCCCGACCCTTTGCTACAGCTACACGAAATCCTGCAGCTTTGCTACTTGGCGGCGAAGGGTCGGAAATTTGTCCGGCTTCAACAGGGGGGTTTTGTACGCGCGCAAAGAGTTTGATTGCTTGCGATTATGATGCAATTGAAGGAGATTGAAGGGGCCGAGGGGCATCAAACAAGGATCTTGGCCTTGTGGATACGATCAGGGTCCGATGGAGGTCCTGTAGTGCATGAGCGCATTCTGGAATAGAAGCTCAAGCTGCATTAACCCGAGTAAGGCTACTATGTAAATCAAATTAAATGTACTGAGAACAGACTGGCATTGATCTGGTTGATTTCGATTAGATCCATCCATTGTATCTCAACAAACACGGCGGATGGATACCTGACCGATAGGAGAAGTGGTTCATAGTTGACTCACCCTTGGTTCCTGATGCTGTGATAGGGCTCTGCAAGAGTAAGACATGGGTGTCTCTGCTATTTATAAATTTGGATACTGCTACACGTAAGACTTGATACTAAGGTAGATATAAAATATCAATTCCCTTTGTCCTCGGCGCATCTCTGTTTCATCTTCATTCATCAATCACTTCACTACCAGTCACTCGTTTGTCTGACTTCCACAGCCATATTTAATTTTAATACATTCGGATAGACTTTTACTTTCGATCACTCACTATCAAAATGCGTTTCGCTCTCACTCTCACTGCCTTCGTCGGCTCTGTCGCCGCTCTGTCCATCACCTCTCCCAAGAAGGACCAGGATGTCGACCTCAGCGAGAAGACCACCGTCGAATGGAGCTCTGTCAGGTACTCAACTTGTATACCGTCATCATGTGTTGCATACTGACAAGCATAGCTCTGACCCCTCCTCCTTCGACATCTACCTCGTCAAGATGAACTCCTACCCTCCCGTCAACAAGCTTGTCGCCGAGAACGTCAAGACCAGCGACGGCTCCTACACCATTGATGGTCTCTCCGCCGACAGCGGGTACGCCTATTCACTTCGCAGCAGACTCTTCATATACTGATCTGTATTAGATCCGGCTACCAGGTCAACTTTGTCTCCAAGGATCCCCAGAACAGCGGCATCCTCGCCCAGTCGCAGCAGTTCAAGGTCGAGTCCTCCGGCTCCTCGACCACCTCCGGCTCTGCTTCTAGCGCCTCTGCTACTGGATCCGCGTCCACCTCCTCTTCTAGCACCGGTACGGTCTCTAGCACTGCCTCTGCCTCTGCCTCTGCATCTGCCTCTACCAAGGCCTCTGCCTCTGCTTCCACCTTGAGCACCTCCGCCTCCGGCACTGGTTAGTCGCCTGTCCTGGCGTCTTCAAGATTTGTGCTAATATTTCTCCCTCTGCAGCTTCCAGCACCTCCTCCCCCACCGGCAGCGGCACCAGCGCCTCCGCTTCCAGCACCACCTCCCCCACCACCTCCCCCAACGGTGCCGGCTCGCTCGCCATTCCTGCCGGCTCCCTCCTGCTCGGTCTGGTCGCCCTGGCTCTGTAAACGTGAACCTTCGTCATCTCAGAAACGAATGATCCGGTTCGCGCACCCGGAAATCTACTCAGGTAGGTAGATAGATAACAACCCACCGTGTACTGGACGTGTACTCCGTACTGCTTTTATGTATATGAGGATCTGCCATTCGCATTATTAGACTGTCTGTCCTTATCACTATCTATCCTATCCACATAATTAATGCAATCCTTTGCTTTTGCTTTTGCCTTGCGTGTTTCATTATGCAACTTAGCTGATAGATCACATTGACAATCATTTTGGTGTTTGTATTATATGTATTTGTAAGCTGTACCTTACGGCACATACTGTAGGTAGGTACTCCGTACCTTAGGTACGACTTGTTTCGAGGCTTATGCAAGGCGTTACCTTTGCAGGGATGTAGGTACCTTAGCTCGTCTGTCACCAGATTCAGTCTACGTAATTATTTGAAACCTGTCCATAGAACCAATAGAATGGAATTTGTGCGGTTAGGTCGGATATTTTCATGGCAGAACACGAGAGTTGCCAGAGTATATTACGTGACGGAATAGGTATGGTATCAGGTACCAAACTCAGACACCGATCCTGACAGGCAATTCGTAAATTTGATTGGCTGATATGCAGGACTGTATCACTCTGCTGTGATTCGACGGCCTGATCGGGAAACTAGCGGAAGTCAAATCGGCTGGTGGGAGCAGGATTGGATTCTCATCACAGTGATGGGCAACACGAGGCTGCGGGTGGTGAGATTCGAATACGGGTTCTTTAAGCGAGTGAAAGGATCTATACGAGCCTCGGTGAGGATCTGGTCCAATAAATACCTTAGGTGCCTGGGCAACGACAGTGCGGCTGAAAGGTCGCATCTCTCAACTTATGTATATGTATGTACATTCGGATAAAAAAATATATAAACATGCATTTACAGAACATTACCGAGATATCGCCATCGCATGGAACTGACGTGAGAAAAAAAGGTATAAATAAATAGGGTATGCACAAGGAAAATGCTTAAATCAACACCCCAACCCAAACCCCAACCCGGAGACGATTGACACCAAAACAGAGAACAGAATCGTCAGCGGTATCCCCGCCGGCGTCATCGACAACACCCCCGCAGACCCTGACGATGCCGGCTTCCCTGTCTTCAGCTCGACATAGCTGATGTCTGTGTCGCTAAAGCCGCACAGCCCACTGCCAGGCATGAGGTTCGCGGGGAAGAAAACGCGGGGCTCGCCCTTGTCCATGGGGACGATGAGCTGACCGGCCCGGTTGACGGTATAGTTGACGCAGTTGAGGACGTCCATCGCCACTACACCGGGGTTAAAGCTTACGGGCATGTACAGGTCGTACGGCTCTTTCTGGTTGGTGCCCTGCGTCGAGAGGAGCATGATGGTCTGGCGGCCCTCGACGCCTTTGCGGAAGGCGAGCTCGCTGGAGCCCTGGTAGACCGGGTATGTCTCGATGTCGAGATAGTTGTTGTCGAGGCTGTATACGTGTTTGCGGAGGCGGTTGAGCTTGGCAACCAGCTTGTACAGCTCGGCGTCGGTGTTGTAGCCGGACAGCCAGACGGCTTCTCGGTTACTGTTGTTGGCGGTATATGCCCCGCTAAAGTGCTGCTCCTGCCCCTGGTACATGATCGGGATGCCGTCGAAGAGGATGTTGAATGTGAGTACATTCTTTGCGAGCTAAACAGGGGTTCAATTCATCAGCTGGGAGCGGGGGTTAGCCTTGGGGGGAAGGGGTCGGGTCCCTACCGCCATGTCTGAGGTCA